ATAGAGAGAGCGTCTGCCTGCGGACTCAGAGGTCCCAGGTTCGATTCCAGTCAAGGGCATGTACCCCGGTTGCAGGCACATCCCCAGTAGGGAGTGTGCAGGAGGCAGCTGATCGATGTTTCTAACTCTCTATCCCTTTCCCTTCCTCTCTGTAAAAAAAATCAGTAAAATATTAAAAAAGAGAGAGAGAGAGAAGACAGTAGGCAGATATGCAGGGAGGGGGGCATGGTCAGGGGTGGGGGAGTTGATAAAATGCAGCACCATGCCAGTTTAGAAGGGAAGACTCAGGATACACTTATCACTGAGAAACATGGGCTTTGGAATTAGACACATCTAGATCTGACTTCTGACACTTAATGTATTTACACATTAATCTGTAAACATGTTTAGGCTAGTGCCTGACAGTTGCTAAGAACTTAACATTAGCCCTGGCCAGTATGGCTTGGTTGGTGTCATTACATGCACCAAAAGGTTGCTGATTTGGGTTTGATTTCTAGTCAGGGGAAATGCTCAGGTTGCAGGTTTGATCCCCAGTTGGGGGTGTGCAATAGGCAGCTGATGGATGTTATGCTATCATATCGATATCTCTCTCTCTCCCTCTCCCCCCTTCCTCTCTCTCTAAAATTCAATTTTAAAAAAATCTTAAAAACACCTAACAAAAAGAGAAAAACTCAACATAAGTAGTGAATAGCAGTGGTTGTGTTATTACAACAGTTCTGAACAATAACCTAGTTCCCCCTGGAGAAATAGTTTCTAATCCCCTCACCACAGTCCTTCAAAATGGTAACAAGTATATTCAAACTAATCACTTTCCTTTAAGAGTTAGGGGAGTAGTTTTAAAACCCAAGGAAATTGCCTCTTTCTGATATAACTTATATATATAAAAGCCAAATATGCAAAGTGTTCCCTCTGGAGTTTGACCAACCCGGAGTTCGACTGCTCACTATGACGTGCGCTGACTACTAGGGGGCGGTGCAAGACGAAGGAAGGCTGCGACCAGCAGCTGGCAGCCAGGGAAGGGAGGCCCCAGCCAGCAGCTGCTAGGGACCCTACCTGTGCACAAATTTCGTGCACATAATATTCCAAAGTTTGTCATGAAAATAGTAATGTGTGCTAATAAGCCATATAAATTTTTTTGGCAGGGTGGCAATAGAAACCAGATAGTGGATTTGAAAAGGAAAGAAGGTAAATACCGAAGTGGAAGCAAGTAGTTGTAGACCAATCAAATAAGAAGTTTGTCAATAAAAGAAGTCAATAAACAGGTGTGGCAGATTAGTCTAGGTAATGTTCCTTTCCCTCAGCTCCTCCTTTCCAGGAAGGGAGGGTTTAGATTTAGCACATTTAAAGGCAGGGGAAGGTGCTATTGAAGACGGAAAGTTTGAGATGTATGGTGTGAGCACTTGATTTCAAAATGTAGAGGCGCACACTCTCTCTCTGGAGCACACAGCACACCTGCACCTTTCCCCAGAAAGAGCTCTTTCTCTCTGGACCACACCTATGCCTTCCTTTTTCCTAAGCTATAAGGGCCCTTCTTTTGCCTCTGTAACTTGTCTCCAGAGCCCACATGGTCCATCTGGCTCACTTCCTCTGCCTCTGTAATTTCTGAATAAACTTTTGCTTGTAAAAAAAAAAATGTACAGAGGGAAGTGAGAGGGCATGAAAAGTACACTGAATGAATAAATTAATGGGGGAAGAGAGGAAATTAGAGACAAAGAGAAGGGCTTCTTTCTCTAATCTAGAAAGAAAAAAGTTACCAAATATTAAGAGGTGGCAACAAAAGGAAGACAAAGGAGCTTATACCTCCTCAATCTTAGCAAGAGAGGGGTAAGGTTATCTACTGCAGTCAGGTTAAGAGCAAGGTTTGGAAAAGCTGACATGGCAGTATGCTAACCCAAGTGTTAGGGTCACTGAAGGAGGAATGCACGAGGCCAAAAGAGGTAAAGAATTATGAATTAATTAGTGGCCTGGTACACGGATTCATGCATATTGAAAGGAAAATTAACTAGAAGGAATTAACTAGAAGGGGAATATATTCACCCTTTCTCTATAATATAAGTGTCAACCAAATTCATGAATGACAATGACAGATCGAAACACATGCACGCGATTGGGACCCGTGAGAGCTTTATATGTATCGTGCATTCTCGAGTCGTTTATTTTTAAATTGCCAGTGTGCATCATATGTACTGGTACCGGCCGGTCAGACAGATGGTTGGATGGACATACAGTGGGTCACTTAGCCTTTTATATATATAGACTAGACACCCGGTGCATAATATATGTGCATGGGTAGGGTCCCTAGGCCTGGCCAGCAATTAGGGCCAATCTGTGGGGCAACCAGAGGGCAATTGGGGGGTCCCCGCTGGCACCCACCTTGGACAGCCTGGCACCGCCCGCTCGCCAGCCCCGCCCCCTGCCGCCAGTCGCCTCCCTCTGCAGGGCCATCGCGCGGGGTGGGGGTGGGGGGGCGCTGGCACCTGCCTTGGCTGGCCTGGGGCCTGCAGGCTGGGGGCAGCTCCTGCATTGAGAGTCTTCCCTTGGTGGTCAGTGCGCGTCATAGCGACCAGTCATTCTGCCGGTGTTCCACCGTTGGGTCGATTTGCATGTTAGGCTTTTATTATTTAGGATTGCCAGTGCACGTCATATGTACTGGCCAGTCAGATGGACGGACAGTTGGTCACTTAGCCTTTTATATATAGAGATTAGGTGATCTGGATACCAGATGGAGCGAGCCCCAAAATGGCACCAGCACCTAGGGACAGGGAGTCAGAGATTTTAAATAATTCTAGGTGGGCTTTTTCTGGGTGGCTCTGAAGGGGAAAGAGAATGGTCTTAGCAAGTGGAATGTGGTCTCAGCAAGTGGAATGTGATCTAAGCAAAAGGGAATGTTGATTGTGAAGTGGTCTAAAGGTCCGTTCCCAGGGGAAGGGTGTTGCTTCAATTATTTGACCAGACCTAACACGAAGGAATTGACATACTTTGTATATGGTAATATATACTGTATTCTTACAATAAAATAAACTAGAGAAAACATTACTTAAAAATCATAAGGAAAATACATTCACAGTATCTACTGAAAAAAATCCACGTATAAGTGGACCCACACAGTTCAAAACAATGTTGCTCAAGGATCAACTATATAAGCAAACTGACTTCAGTATCCAAAAACTAATCACTTTCATTTTATAAATCTATGTACTCAACACATGTAAGCTCTTACTATCTTGACAGCAATGTTCCTATTTCTCAGCTTAACACATTGTTTGCAGGTAGTTTTTACTGCGCGCTAACAGGTGGCATGGGCCATTTTTGCAGTTGAATAGATTGATTACCATTATACCTGGAAGTACACACATAATTCACCATTGTATGTGTTAGAGACCCAAATTTTGTACTTTAGAATTCATATATCTGCATGTTAGCATCCCTTTAGAGCAATAAAAAAGTATAAAAATAAACGTATTTATACGTTACCCACATTCTACCGCTAGTCTATAAAAAACGTATTAATATGTGTCCCGCGCTCTACTACCAGTCAACGTAAAACGTATAAATACGTTTCCCACATACAATGTGTTAAGTATTCCCAAGAAAATCATCCTTAGATAAATCTTTTCTTTTATTCCGCACCTGTCAATATATACACCAACCTTTAGCTGAGAGTCTGGGACTGCTACCATTTTTCTTACTATATAGTTAATGTATTTTGAGGATTAAAGTGTAAAATCCTATATAATAAAAGCCTAATATGCAAACTGTCCCCTTGACTGGGAGTTCTGCCAGTTCAACCGCTTGCTATGATGGGCACTGACCACCAGGGGGGCGGCGTAGAACATGGCGGGCATTGGCAACATGATGCTGGCAGCAGGCAGCAGTGGAGATGCTGCAGGCCCTGGTGAGAGCAGGACCAGGGTGAGATGGCGGAGCAAGTGAGTGGGCGGCACCAGGCCAAGGCAGATGCAACCCACTGGTCACCGGGAGGGGCTGATCGCTCCACCGATTTGATTGCCCCGCTGCCGCCAGGCTCCCAGGTGCTGAGGGAGCCAGGTGGGGGCCCAATGCCCTGCCGATCTGATCACAGGGCGACCAGCAGCAGCAGTGTGGGTAGGGCCACTGCCCTGCTGGGAGCTGGGCGGTGGTGATGGGGGGTGGCAACGTGATCAGTGGGGCGAATGGGTCCCCCGAGGCAGTGACCAGTGGCAGCAGTGGGGGTGTGGGGCTGCCGCCAGGCTCTCTCAGCACCTAGGAGCTGGGTGGCGGTGGGGTGATTAGCCCCTGCAGGTGGCAACCAGCGGCAGCAGTGTGGAGCAGGCGGCCAGGGGAAGGGAAGGAGTACCCAGCCGGCAGCCGCCAGGGACCCTACCAGTGCCTGAATTTCATGCACTGGGCCTCTAGTAAAATTATATAAGCTCTTAGAGACCAGTATTCTTAATCATATTATATATCCCAATGACAAATTCTATTAATGAATATGACTAATACTATAACCTGTTTTCAAAAGAATTCATTGGAAAGATAATATATCATGGTACATAAGAGCGCTGATGAACTTACACTGACTTGAGCTGGAGTCTCACATCTGCCTTTCTTTGCTGTATGACTTAGGGTAAGCCACTTTACCTAAATCATAGGGTGTAATGGCTGAAACGTCATAAATATTCAGTGAAGGGCAAGCACTATTAAAAATACTTTTTTGATTATCTCTTAAGTGACAGGAGTTTCACTAAACTGGTGATTCAGAGACAGATCAATAACATCATGCAGTCCTTGAAGAGGATCATAGTATAATTATAAAGAAGAAAACTAAAGACAATATACATTTTAAAAAATTCAAATAGACGTAATGGCTAATAAGTTCATCATTTCATTAAACATCAGAACTTTACAATAAATGACTTATTTTGCATACTTCTGATTAAGAAATAATATAAAGACATTAATATTAACACTTCAGAGCCTTCGCTATTAATGCCTATCAAATAATCTCAATATGCAAGTTATCCATTTTAAAATCATTTTTATTGAACTAATTTAAACAGCACAGTTTTAGTTTGTGGCAGATGCCCCCAACCAAAACAAAGCCATCATGAATGCTATTCACCATATTAAAGTAATCCAGTTTGTTTCTGCAGTTGGAATATAGTTAAACCTTTGACATCACATAATCAAGCAAATAGCAGTGCATACTGTATTAATCAATGACTTTATGCATTTCATTTAAAAAATCATTTTGCAAGTGGCTTCAGCTTTATAAACTGACACATTCCATACTCATGCTCTCAAAATAAAGTGCCCTAAAAACTAAGCTTTTTACTGATAATAATGAATTCTATCGAGGGTTATAGAAAGGAATTGAACTTTAATATTTTACAGTATAAGAGGCAATAAGTTACTGATATCTCCTGACAAATTCCACTCAAACTAAATAAATCCTTGATACATTCAAAAAGACATTTTTAATATTAATATGCTAGTTTATGTGCTGCAGTGCAAAAGAAGTGACACCCTAACGTTTCCTGAGCTTTAGGAAATTAACTTTTTTCTGACTACAACTCTCAATTTAAAATAGGCTCTATATTATACGAAGCCATGTCAAAATTACACAATTAAATTAAGATTTTTGGAAAACTGAAAAGATTGGTCAGAGTTATAATGGTTTAGGGTAATGAAAAAGTTTTCAAAGCAAAATTATTTACAAAACTATAAAGGATACTGTGGATCTGCATGTAGTATAAAGATCAAAGATAATCTACTGATTACCAAATGATCATAATTATTCCTCTCTTTTCAAAAATATTACACTGAAAGACTATGGTAAGTTAAAGCATTTAACATACCAACCTGTAGTATATTAAACATTTTAACAACTTTTTCCATAATGCCCAGTAAAAATGACTAAGAGATAATATATTAAAAATCAAGAAAATAAACATGCTTTTAGGAATGTTTCTGCATGTATATGACAGGGGAAGTGAAAATGATTTCTCATTAGAACACTCTATATCCTCAAAATTACAAAGACCGAGTTTCTACTTCAATTTTTTCTTCTGCTTGTATTATATCCGGATCAACATGAACAACTGGAGGTCGTAGGATAACTTCAGGACCTCCACCATATATAGACTGTAGAAAATTCCATGTTTCTTCAGAAATTTGACCAGAATCTGCTCCTAAAATTAATTGTACAGTGAAAGAATAATATTTACAAATTCATATTGCAAAAGCTTTCAAAATGTTAACACACACACACACCTGCCCCAAAAGCATGAATATCAATAACTTTTGGAACAGACTCTTCAAACTACCAGCTCATATTGTTATAAGCTGCAACTTTATGGTCTGTCTTAAAAAGTCGGAGATCCTTTTTTTCTAGCTCCTATCAACAGCTGTAAAACCTTTCCTCAGAAAAATTAAAGACTGGGAGTTTTTCCACTATTTGTCCTACTTCATGAATGAATTATATCATTAAGCTGGGTTAAAAAGTGGCATAGAAGGCTAGTGACTCTATGTTCTTAACAGTAACAAATTACCAACAAGTAAATGGTAGTCGAACTTACCTTGCCTGAGCATCACACTGCCACATTTAGTGACTGCAATTTTAGTGTTATCAATAGGACCTGGAGGATCTAAGTTAAAACGAAAAACAAATGATCAAGATGCATACTTTTCACATAAATGCATCAAAGAATGACATATTTCTGTGTCTGAAATAACTGAAGGGCATAACTGTATAATCAGATTGATTTTTCTTTAGTCAAATTATTATAGACAATTCTTAACTGTCTTCTGAACTTCTTTTTGTGTGTGTCTTATCTCCCCCAAAACAGATTCAAGAAGAGAGAGAGGCTCTCTCACTACCATCCAAAATCTAATAGAAATGATTTCTTAGCTATCAATTGCACTTTTGTTGTTGTTGTTTTTAAAATATAACATTTATTGCTTATATCAGCGGTTCTCAACCTGTGAGTCGTGACCCCTTTGGGGGTCGAATGACCCTTTCACAGGGGTGGCCTAAGACCAAGGGTGGGCAAACTTTTTGACTCGAGGGCCACAATGGGTTCTTAAACTGGACAGGAGGGCCGGAACAAAAGCATGGATGGAGTGTTTGTGTGAACTAATATAAATTCAAAGTAAACATCATTACATAAAAGGGTACGGTTTTTTTTTTCAATAGTTTTATTCATTTCAAGCGGGCCGGATCCGGCCCGCGGGCCGTAGTTTGCCCACAGTTGCCTAAGACCATCAGAAAACACATGTATAATTACATATTGTTTTTGTGATTAATCACTATGCTTTAATTATGTTCAATTTGTAACAATGAAATTGGGGTCACCACAACATGAGGAACTGTATTAAAGGGTCGCGGTATTAGGAAGGTTGAGATCCACTGGCTTAGATGGATCCATTGCACTTTAAATGCTATAAAAGAACAATTCCTTTGTAATTAAAAAAGAAATGATAGGTCCCTGTCCCCATCTCTGTCCCAGTCAGAGGACAGTGGTCCCACCCAGCCCCAGCTTTTTTCTTCCATCTCTGTGTCTGTTTCTTTCTTTCATTTTCTCAATCCCAGCTGCCCCTACTCAAGAACCAGACCGCTCTCCAGCCACGCTGGACATGGAGAAGAGACATATTTACATCTGGCGACCCAGATCCAGGGACTTGAGTACAGGGGAATGCTCGCAAGTCAGGTGAGGGGGTCTCTCCGAGAAGTGCCCTGTGCAACAGATTAAAGTAGTAAGGGCATCCACGGCATCCAGAGATCGGCTACTAACCCGGAAACACCGGATCTCAAGCAGCGCGACTACGTGGACTCAGAGGAGCCCTGCTTCTCCTCACGGAAAGAGAGAGAACTACATGACCAAACACCTGGAGAAGAGAGATCACAGGGAGACAAAGAACCAGCCCGCATATGAAAGAAAAACAGGCATCACCAGAAAAGGAAGTAAACGAAATGGAGGCAAGCAACCCGTCAGAGAAAGAATTCAGAGAAATGGTCATAAGGTGGATGAAAAGAATGGAAGACAAATTCAACAATATGTGTAAGAACCAAGAGGAAATGAAGAAAAACCAAGAAGAAATGAAAAATGACATCACTGCTATAAAGAACTCAATAGAAAGCATCAACAGTAGACTAGAAGAAGCAGAGGACCGCATCAGTGAGCTAGAAGACAAGGTAGGAAAAAATACCCAAGCAGAGCAGCTTCTAGAAAAAAAAATTAAAAAGCAGGAGGAGAAAAAAAAAAAAAAAAAAAAAAAAAGCAGGAGGAGAGCCTAAGAGAACTCTGGGACACCATGAAACAAAACAACATCCGCATAATAGGGGTGCCAGAAGGAGAGGAAACTGAGCAAGGAATAGAAAACCTGTTTGAAAAAATAATGACAGAAAACTTCCCTGATATAGGGAAGAAAAAACTCACACAAATCCAAGAAGCTCACAGAGTCCCAAACAAAATGAACCCCAAAAGACCAACGCCACGGCACATTATAATTAAACTGGCAAACACCAATGACAAAGTAAGAATCTTAAAAGCAGCCAAAGAGAGACAGAAAGTTACCTACAAAGGATCCCCCATCAGACTAGCAACTATTTCTCAACAGAAACACATCAGGCAAGAAGGGAATGGAATGAAATATACAAAGTCATGCAAAGGAAGGGTCTGAATCCAAGTATACTGTACCCAGCAAGGCTATGAATCAAAATTGAGGGTGAAATCAGGAGCTTCACAGACAAAAAAGGACTACGGGAGTTTATTACCACCAAACCAGCAATGCAAGAAATGCTAAAGGGTCTGCTGTAAAAAGAAAAAATAGGAAACAAAAAAGGAACACAGGGATAAAGAATAAAAATGGCAACAAACAACTATCTATCAATAATAACTTTAAATGTAAATGGATTAAATGCCCCAATCAAAAGACATACGGTAACTGAGTGGATAAGAAAACATGACCCATATATCTGCTGTCTACAGGAAACCCACCTCAGAAAAAAAGACGCACACAGACTGATGGTGAAGGGATGGAAAAAGGTTTTCCAGGTGATAGGAAACGGAAAAAAAGCCGGGGTAGCAATACTTATATCTGACAAATTAGATCTCAAAGTGAAGGACATAAAAAGAGATAAGGAAGGCCACTTCATAATACTAAAGGGAGCAATCCAACAAGAAGAAATAACTCTGGTAAACATATACACACCCAATATAGGAGCACCCAAATACATAAGAAATCTTCTGGAGGAAATCAAGAGAGAGATTGACAGCAATACAATCATAATAGGGGACTTTAACACCCCACTATCACCATTGGACAAATCCTCTAAACAAAAAATCAGCAAAGAAACATCAATCCTAAATGACTCACTAGATCAGGTGGAATTAATTGACCTCTTCAGAACATTTCACCCCAAATATACATTCTTCTCAAGTGCACATGGGTCATTTTCAAAGATAGACCATATATTGGGTCACAGGCAAAGTCTCTTCAAATTCAAGAAGACTGAAATCATATTAAGCATCTTCTCAGATCACAATGGCATAAAACTGGAAATCAACTACAATAAAAACAATCCAAAAAAATCAAACACATGGAGACTAAATAGCATGCTATTAAACAATGACTGGGTTACCAGAGAGATCAAAGAAGAAATAAAAAACATCATGGCAACAAACGACAATGAAAACACAACAATCCAAAACCTATGGGACACAGCAAAAGCAGTCTTGAAAGGGAAGTTCATAGCTCTACAAGCCTACTGCAAGAAACAAGAAACAATGAGAATAAATGACCTAACCCTACAACTCAAAGAGTTAGAAAGAGAGCAACAAGAAAATCCCAGTGTAAACAGAAGGAAGGAAATAATAAAGATCAGAGTGGACATAAATGACATAGAGACCAAAAAAAAAACAACACAAAAAAATCAACAAAACCAAGAGCTGGTTCTTTGAAAGGATAAACAAGATTGATGAACCTATAGCCAGGCTCACCAAGAAACAAAGGAAGAGGACCCAAATAAACAAAATCAGAAATGATAGAGGCAAAATAACTACAGACCCCACAGAAATACAAAGGATTGTTAGAAAATATTATGAACAACGCTACTCCAACAAACTAGACAACCTGGAGGAAATGGACATATTCCTAGAAAAATACAACATTCCAAAACTCAATCAGAAAGAATCTAAAAATCTCAATAGGCCAATAACTATGGAAGAAACTGAAGCAGTAATCAAAAAGCTTCCAGCAAACAAAAGCCCGGGGCCAGACGGCGTCACAGGGAAGTTTTACCAAACATTCAAGGAAGAACTAAAAACCTATCCTCCTCAGACTACTACAAAAAATTCAAGAGGAAGGAACACTTCCAAGCTCATTCTATGAAGCCAGCATCACCCTAATACCAAAACCAGGTAAAGACAACACAATGAAAGAGAATTACAGGCCAATATCCCTCATGAACATAGATGCCAAAATCCTCAACAAAACCCTAGCAAATTGGATCCAGCAGTACATCAGAAAGATCATACACCATGACCAAGTAGGATTTATCCCAGGGATGCAAGGATGGTACAATAGCCACAAATCAATAAACATAATACATCACATAAACAAATTGAGAGATAAAAACCACATAGTCATATCAATTGATGCAGAAAAAGCATTTGACAAAATTCAACACCCTTTCTTGATAAAAACTCTCAGCAAGGTAGGAATAGAAGGATCATACCTCAACATAATAAAAGCCATATATGGCAAATCCACAGCCAACATCATACTCAATGGGCAAAAACTAACACCATTCCCCCTAAGAACAGGAACAAGACAGGGATGCCTCCTCTCACCACTCCTGTTCAACATAGTACTGGAAGTACTAGCCGTTGCTATCAGACAAGAAGAAGAAATAAAAGGCATCCAAATTGGAAAAGAAGTAAAACTGTCCTTATTTGCAGATGACATATTATACATAAAAAACCCTAAAGAATCCATCAAAAAACTATTAGACTTAATAAATGAATTCGGCAATGTAGCAGGATACAAAATTAACACCAAGAAATCTAAGGCATTTCTATACACCAATAGTGAACTTACAGAAAGAGAGACTAAAAAAACAATCCCATTTACCATCGCACCAAAAAAATTAAGATACCTAGGAATAAACTTAACTAAGGAGGTAAAAGACTTATATGCAAAAAACTACAGGACACTGAAAAAAGAGACAGAGGAAGACATAAGCAGATGGAAGAACATACCGTGTTCATGGACTGGTAGAATCAACATCATCAAAATGTCCATGCTACCCAAAGCAATCTATAGATTCCATGCAATCCCCATTAAATTACCAATGACATATTTCACAGATCTAGAACAAACGTTCCAAAAATTCATCAGGAATAAAAAAAGACCCCGAATAGCTGCAGCAATCCTCAGAAAGAAGAACAAAGTAGGTGGGATCTCAATACCAGATATCAAACTGTATTACAAAGCCACTGTTCTTAAAACGGCTTGGTACTGACACAAGAACAGACATATAGATCAATGGAATAGAATAGAGACCCCAGAAATCAACCCAAACCACTATGCCCAATTAATACTCGACAAAGGAGGCAAGAGCTTACAATGGAGTCAAGACAGTCTCTTCAATAAATGGTGTTGGGAAAATTGGACAGATACATGCAAAAAGATGAAACTAGATCACCAACTCACACCATACACAAAAATAAACTCAAAATGGATTAAAGACTTAAACGTAAGACGGGAAACCATAAAAATACTAGAGGAATCCACAGGCAGCAAAACCGCAAACATATGTCGAAGGAATTTCTTCTCTGATAATGCTCCTAGGGCAATGGAAACTAAAGAGAAAATAAACAAATGCAACTACATCAAAATAAAAAGCTTTTGCACAGCAAAGGAAACCATCAACAAAACAACAAGAAGACCCACTGCATGGGAGAACATATTTGCCAATGTTATCACCGATAAGGGTTTAATCTCCAACATTTACAGGGAACTCATGAAATTTAAGAATAGGAAGATAAACAATCCAATCAAAAAATGGGCAACGGACCTAGATAGACACTTTTCGAAAGAAGACATACAGAAGGCCAAAAGACATGAAAACATGCTCAAAGTCACTAATTATACAAGAGATGCAAATCAAAACAACAATGCGGTATCATCTCACACCTGTCAGAATGGCGATCATCAACAAATCAACAAACAAGTGTTGGAGAGGATGTGGAGAAAAAGGAACCCTTCTGCACTGCTGGGGGGAATGCAGACTAGTGCAGCAATTGTGGAGAACAGTATGGAGCTTCCTCAAAAAACTAAAAATGGAACTCCCATTTGACCCAGTTATCCCACTTCTAGGAATATATCCCAAGAAGCCAGAAACACCAATCAGAAAGGATATATGCACCCCTATGTATATAGCAGCACAATTTACCATAGCTAATCTTTGGAAACAGCCTAAGTGCCCATCAGCAGATGAGTGGATTAAAAAACTGTGGTACATCTACACAATGCAATACTACGCTGCAGTAAAAAAGAAGGAACTCTTGCCATTTGCAAGAGCATGGATGGAACTGGAGAGCATTATGCTAAGTGAAATAAGCCAGTCTGAGAAAGATAAATACCACGTGATCTCACTCATTTGAGGAATATAAAGAACAACATAGACTGATGAGCAGGGACAGATCCAAAGACAGAGAAACAGCAATCAGACTATTAATCCCCAGCGGGAAAGTAGGGGAGGGTGGGAGTAAGGGGAAGAGATCAACCAAAGGACTTGTACGCATGCATATAAGCCAAACCAATGGACATGGACAACAGGGGGATGGAGCATGAGTGGGGGGGCGGAGGAAGAATGGGGGAGGATGAGGACACATTTGTAATACCTTAAAAAAAAAAAGAAATGATACATTCTTAATTTGTTTCAGATTACCATTACTTAAACTATAACCATTAAGAGCTTTATAAAATAAAATGTTGGAATGCATCTTTTTTAATTGAATTGAATTTATTGGGTTGACATTGGTTAAAAAACCCCTACAGGTTTCAAGTGTACAACTCAATAAATCATCTGCACACTACATTGTATACCCATCACCCAAAGTCTCTTTCTGTTCCCATTTATCCCATTTGCCCTCCCACCTCCTCCAACACCCTTCCCTCAGGCTACCACTATATTGTTGTCTGTGTGTTATGTGAATATATATATTTTTTTCCTTAATCTCTTTACCTTTTGTTTCACCCCGCCAAAAGGTACCCTTTTTTAATTTAAGAAAACACCTTATTTGTTTTCCACTTGAATACAAAAGTACAGTGCATGGTCATTATCAAAAGCTAGAAAAAAAGGTACAAGGAAGACAATAGACTGTAATCCTGCTATAAGAAGATAGGCAAACTGTTTTAGTATCTGTGTGGTCTTTTGCCTTTGCATATGTTTGCCTATTTTTTAATACAAAAGGTTCAAACTATGCATACTGTATTGCAATTTTTTTATGTATCAGTAACACCTTTATTTTTAAATTACTAAATACTGTCACAAAAATTATTTGTAAAGTCCATATAGTATCCCATTATAATGCACAAACCATAATTTAACCAATCTTATTTATTGTTGGTGGATTTTTTTTAACTTCAATATTAAGATCACAGACTAATTTTCTTTACTTCCTTTATTCTTGCTATGAGTATAATTGATGAAACAGATTTAAAAATTCCCAAAACCAGAATATAAACTAGAATATAAGATTCCCTGAGGGCTAGAATCTTTGTCCATCTTGTTTACTGATGTAATCCCAAGTGTATATAGATATCCAAAAAATATTTGTTAAATAAAAAATCGGCTCAGCCCCGTGGCTCAGTGGTTGAGTGTCGACCTATGAGCCAGGAGGTCATGGTTCGATTCCTGGTGGAGGCATATGCCTGGGTTGCGGGCTCCATCCCCAGTGTGGGTTATGCAGGAGGCAGTCAATCAATGATTGTATCTCATTATTGTTGTTTCTATCTTTCTCTCCCTCTTCCTTCCTCTCTCTCTAAAAATAAAATAAAAAAAATAACATATTAAAAAAAATAAAAAATAAATAAAAAATCTGCAAAGAATTTCATTTTTTAGTTAACCACTTACCTCCATCTTTACCCTTCACAAAACTTTCCCATTCTCTAAACCACTGCATACTGATGCAATAAAAAGTAGCTGGAGAGTCCTCCTCTTGGAATGCTCTGTTGAGCTATATGTAGGGAGGAAAAAATCAGTCACCTAATATTTAGAACTTGCTTTATAGCAGAACAATACAATCATCCTACTTCAGTCTCTGATAAAGCCAGTTTCTCATACACGAAGAATGTGTACACTGACACTAAGTTATTTTAGTACTAGCATACATGACAACATCTATTAAAAAACAATTCTAGCCCAGCAGGTATAGCTTAGAGGTTGAGTGTCAACCTATGAACCAGGAGGTCCCTGGTTTGATTCCTAGTGAGGGCACATGCCCAGGTTGCGGGCTGGGACATGCAGGAGGCAGCCATCATTGATGTCTGTCTCTCTCTCTCTCTCTCTCTCTCTCTCTCTCTCTCTCTCTCTTCCTGAAATTAATTTAAAATATATATATATATATTTTTTTAAAAACACAATTATAGGTTATGTCTTAAATTTTAGCAAGTACAAACTGAAGGGACATAAAATATTGGATAGGTGAAGACATTCAAGGCAAAGTCTTCAAAACAATAACTACTCTACATATATATTAAAAATATGATGGCCCTAGCTGGTTTGGCTCAGTGGATTGAGCATCAGCCCATGGACTACAGAGTCTCGAGTTCAATTTCTGTCAAGGGCATGAGCCTCAGATGGTCCCGGTAGGGGTGCAATGTGGGAGGCAACCTATCGATGTCTCTCTCATATCGATGTTTCTCTCTCTGTCCTCCCCCTCTTCCATTTTCAAAAAATAAATGGAAAAATATCCTCGGGTGAGGATTAACAAAAAAGAAAAAAAAATCTGATAATAAATTTTATTTAAACATACAACAGCCACTGTCTATGTATTACTTGTGCTAACTTAAGATACTGGTGGACATGTTGCAATTACAAACACCATGCGGCAATGAATGATCTTATCTATGTCATTTCACAGGCAATCCTATCTAATAAAAGAGAAACATGGTAATTAGCGTACAACCGCTACCCTTCCCATTGGCTAATCAGGGCGATATGCAAATTAACTGCCAGCCAAGATGGCAGCCGGCAGCCAGGCAGCTTGAAACTAACATGAGGCTTGCTTGCTTCAGTGACGGAGGAAACCAACGTTCCCCGCCTGCCTTGCCGGCCTCTGAGCCTGCAGTTTGAAACATTGTAACAAATATAGAAGCTAAACAAAACCCCAGAAACCTGCTTTCAGCGAGCCGGGATCTCAGAGCTGGAGTTATACATTGTTTCGATATAGAACCCAAACAAACCAGATACCTGCTTTCAGCAGCAGAGGCCTCAGAGCTGGAGCCAGAGCTAAAGCTGGCCCAGAATAAAAAAAAAAGAAAAAAAGGAGCAGTTGGGAGCTTCAGCCCTCAGCCCCTCACCCAGACTGGCCAGGCACCCCAGTGGGGACCCCCACCCTGAAGGGTGTGTGACCAACTGCAAACAGCCATCATCCCCTCACCCAGGCTGGCCAGGCACCCCAGTGGGGACCCACACCCTGATCCAGGACACCCTTTAGAGCAAACCAGCCAGCCCCACCCATGCACCAGGCCTCTATCCTATATAGTAAAAGGGTAATATGCCTCCCAGCACCGGGATCAGCGGAGCCGCGAGGCCTCCTGGCACCAGGATCAGTGTGACAGGGGGCAGTGCCCAAACCCCCGATCGCCCTGCGGCTCTGTGTGTGACAGGGGGCGGGGCCACAACCTCCCTATCTGCCCTGCTCTGTTCGTGACAGGGGAAGGCGCCCCAACCTCCTGATCAGCCCTGCTCTGTGCCTGATACAGGGGAGCTCCCCAACCCCCTGATCACCCTGCAATTCTGTGTGTGACAGTGGCGCCGCCCCAACTCCCTGATCCGCCCTGCTCTGTGTGTGACAGGGGGCGGTGCCCCAACTCCCCTATCGGCCCTACTCTGTGTGTGACAGGGGGGAGCTCCCCAACCCCCTGATCGACCCTGCTCTGTGCATGACAGGGTAAGGAGCCCCAACACCCCTGATGGGCCCTGCTCTGTGGGGGTGGCGCCGCAACCTCCCCATGGACCCTGCCTTGAGTGTGACAGGGGGCGGTGCCCCAACCCCCCAATCGGCCCTACCCTGTGCGTGACTGAGGGTGGCATCACAACCTCCCAATCCGCCCTGCTCTGTGCATGACAGGGGGCGGCGTCCCAACTCCCCAATCGGCCCTGCTCTGAGCCCGACCAGGGGCTGCACCTAGGGATTGGGCCTGCCCTCTGCCACCTGGGAACAGGCCTAAGCCAGCAGGGCGTTATCTCCCGAGGGGTCCCAGACTGCGAGAGGGCACAGGCCAGGCTGAGGGACTCCCCCTTCCCCCCGAGTGCACAAATTTTTGTGCACCGGGCCTCTAGTATACATATATGTATAGGATAAATTCTCAAAAGTGGTGGTACAGACCCCAAAGATGTTCCACTCCTTCCTCTAGTCCTAAGACCTAAGGAATGGGTATGTGACTCAACCAAGGCAAAACTCTATTAGAAATGGAAATCTTCAGAGAAGTGACCTAATGGTTAGAAGGGGGTCTTTCCAATGCCAATTTTGTTAGCTGTATACTAGGAATACCTTGGTTCCTGAATTTCTGGAAGTGTGGCTATTCAATTTTTCTTTTCAATAATTTTTTTTTTTTTTTTTTTTGCTTAAATTAGCCATTTCTGCTTTCAACTAAAGAAACCAGTTGACAGAAAAACTGGTATAGTAAGAGAGGTAGAGGCAACAGTGCCTGAGGAAAATGAAGGATATTTGGAATTTATCTAATTGTAATAGGGTGAAAAGATAGTGAGATGCCTAAAAATATTTCATGATGTGTAACTAAATGCCCACAGTACATACTATTGGTGGATGAAGACATCAAGTTCAGATCATGTCTCTCCTATAATCAAATCTAGTCAAAACCCTACACTGCCCCTAAAGATCCTTATAATCAATCGTCCAGAAGTACCTCCATGATCTGGCCCCATAATTTGACTTCAGCTTCTAATACTCTCTTCCTCATTTATTCACTGTGGTCACATGGACCATTGTTATTCCCAGAACCAAGCAGACAACATTCCTAACACTCAAAGCTTTTACATGACTATCCCTTCCTTTTGCAAATATCTAAATATCTCCCTCACCTCCTTCAAGTCTTTGCTTTAATGTCACCTTTTCAATGAGGCCTATCTTTATCATCCTATTTATAATTGAACCTCACTCTACCCCTCATCACTGTACTCCTGATCTCTCTGATCCTTTTAGGTATTTTCTATTTCCATAGAACTCATCACCTTTTAATATATAATGTACTACTTATTTATTAAATGTTAAGTTCTTTGCGGTCAAGGATCTTTGTGGAACATGAAGTGGCTGCTTCCATAGAACAACGAAAGGCAATGAAAAACATGGATGTCCCTGATGGTTAACAAAGAAATCAAAGCATGTTTGTCTTAAGGTATAGCATTAAAGTTAGGATTTTCTGTGATATACAACTTATCCCTACAGAACTGAGATTTCTGAAATGTAATGTCAGACTAATTCTGCCAGACGAATCTATTTAATTCATAGCATTACCAGGTTTGGACACTTTCACGACTTTGTCTCTGGCATTAGGATGTTTCTTCCTTAGGTGTCCAGGTGGGGACTTTTTGAATTTTAGTTAAGTACAATCAAAGGCACTTATTTTTGTATTCCAGTGTTATTTTTTATGCCAATACATTGTTTAAAAAAGGTGGGAGGGATGGAATAAGATGAATCTGGACCATACATGAAAAGCTAGAGCTGTGTTACTGACAGCAGCATTTTGAGGAGACTTACTTCTTACAACCTAGATAAATGGAACTGTACTAGTCCTTGTCCATAAAACCTGGTTGTTCAGCTCTCCCTGATGATGCTGTGACAGACTTTCTGTTGCTTGCAATTAGGGAACACATCATACTAAACTCACTTTGTGGAAACTAGGTATATTTTATAAGTAGAGAGTCCCACAAAATAATATTATATTTCACAAAGGGATGGAAGTAGAGAATGCGGTCTGGGAAAATAGTTACAGAAAAACACTAACTTAAGGAAATCTATAATTTACGACTTCAACAAGGAGATTTCTTACCAGTGCCAATCCATAAAACAAAATTCATTACCAATCCATGAAAACAAAAACCCACAAAAAGAGAACTTAACTCACTACATTGTTGTGACTTGCACTGTTAAATAATCAGAGCACTTAAAATCTATTGCAACTTTAATCCAATCATTTCATTAACATAATACAGTTCTGTTAATTGTCAGTTCTTTATCTTTACCCTAAAGCATATTTTTAATTTGAAAAGTACCACTTTATTTACCCGAATAAAAATTTCCAATTCAGTTTTTCTTCTTTTTTCAATTTTCTCTGCCTCAATTTGGCAAGTGTGACAAATGTACAGATGGTTGACAGCTGGTCCTCCTCCATACCTAAAGCATAAAAATTTTGTAATTATGACAATCTTGAAAAAAGCTGATGCTCTAGCAAATTTGTCTCCAACTTTTAGTCAATGGTTAAGTACCTAGTAAATAAATCCTTACAGAAAAATTCTCAGTCATATTTAAACTAATGTAAAAATCAAATAATCCTAATGGTTTGACGTTATGTTTATCAGGGTCAATGACTTTATCAGTTTATTAACTAATAACCTGCTTTACCTGTATTTTAACTTTCCCTTATAATTACTTCTGCTACAAAAATATGTTTGAAGCCACAACAAAACCAAGTAAAAGAGGTAGTTTTCAAAATTAGCATACAACATATAAATCTTACTTATATAGCCATAGTCTTCATCAACTTTTAATCAGAAAGAAGCTTCCCCTGACCTCTCAACTAAGAATTTATGGAATAAATTATTTTCAATATTTCACTAAGGAAAACACAACAAGGAAATTACATGTGAATGCAAAAATTTAAAACTTTAAAATTTAGGAGTTATATATCACAGAATACTTTTATAGATTCAGATAACCAGCACGTAAGAATTAGAATTAATTATCTAGGCTATAAAATCTAGTGACTCACACTCTGAATAAATGAAGGAAAAAGGGAATATTCTACCTAAGCAACATAAAACACAAAAAAGCATATATAAAATAATCCAATTTTAACGAGTTCCACAACAAACTGATTTTTGCGATACCATATTGTTTGATTTAAAAAAAACAAACCTGCTATATAGGTTATCCCAAATGTTCTGAGGCAGCATCAAAACCAGGTCTTCAATATAACTAGCTTTTCGTGGAGGAATACCTAAAAAAATGTTTACATGGGTCTATTTCATTTTTAATTGCTTTATATTACTCTCAAAGGTTAAACTCATTTTTTAACTGATTAATCATTGGCATTTTTCAATCATTATTCTTGAAACCTCTCCAAAAAAGTTAAAAATTAATAAGTATAAGCATTTTTGGTGATTATGCTCCTAAAGTTAAGTGTATTTCTTGAAATAGAGAAATATCAGTCAACCAAGATCTTCAAGTATTTAAGTTATGTATACTTTATTAAGCCTTGATTATGTTTTGGGGGGAGATCAAAGATAAATAAGAAACAATGTTTCCTTCATGGAGCTTACAAGGTAGCAGAAAAAATGAGGCACTTACAGAAATCAATGTAATAAAAGCCAGGCACAGACAAATGGCATAAAAGATTCACAGGGAGATTTAGAACAGAAGGAGCCTTATGTTAGTAGTTCAAGTTTGAAAATGAGACAAAAATTCACATAATGATATATTTTCAAGGTTTAGAAATCCAATACAAGATATCCCTACTATCTCTTCATTTCACTGAAAAAACAATTAATGAGAATATCAATTCTTCAATCATGAAATATAATTAAGGTGCCACACTAAAGTGTCATTTTTCATGGGAACAAACATTAACATAGCCAATCACAAAGGCATAAATTATATTTAGCAAATAACTATATGAGGTTTTTTGTTAAATTCTAAGTACATTTTTATACTCATGAGAAGAGAGAGCCTTTCATTTAGACAAAAGGGATAGGAGCCACAGATACAGTTGGTAGCTGGGTGCCTCCTGGGTGAGAAAAATTATCTATATATATAAAAGCTTAAGCAACCATTACGAACAAATTACCAGAACGACCAGTCGCTATGATGTGCACTGACCACCAGGGGGCAGACGCTCAATGCAGGATCTGCTCCCTGGTGGTCAGTGCACTCCCACAGCCAACCTCCAGCAGTTGGCAGGCCCCGATTGCCTGATCTGGGCCAAGCCCTGGGCTAGAATGGGGAATTGGGGGTGGGTGGCTGGGAGTGGGTGGCGGTGGACATGGCCCCTTTCCCAGGGGGTCCGGGGGTCGGCTCCCTCCTCGGACCGGTGGCCAACCTCCCATGGTCCCTCCCCCCACCTCTATCCCTACTCCCCCGCTGGCAGGCCCCGATCGGCCCTGATCACTGGCCAAGCCTAGGGACCCCACCCGTGCACGAATTTCATGCACTGGGCCTCTAGTGTGTAATATAAGCGATCACTGTATATCTTAACTGGTTGTTGATGTATCTGTCTCTACTATGAAATCAAGAGCTTTGAGAACAGAAGTAGTGTCTTTGCTATTCTCAGGTTCTAGCACAGGGTTTGGAACAGGTACTCAATACTTATCTGTTCTATGAAGAAGCTACAGATTGCCTATAATTAGAAGAAAAAGCCCAATTTCTGAAACCATAGTGAATGAAACACATTTAAGTTGGACTGCAGATGGGGAAATCAGAAATAAATGGAAGAAGAAAATTCTTGGGTCTTTCCTAATATGTCAATTATTTAACAGTAAATTCTTACCACTACTTTCCATTACAGAATTTCTTACCTCCATGAATACAGAGAAAATCATTATTTGAAATAGGGCCAGGTTCAGTAAAGGTCTTAAATTTATTTAGCCACTGTCGAGAAATATAAAACTGAAGGAGACTTGGTTCCATTATGTTCAACAAATTTGATATCCTTCGTCTCTCTTTTTGTGCCTCTTCACTGCTCTTCCTATTAAGAACAATGATTCTTTAAATTCAATGTGCATTTTATTCCATTAGACTAGTAAGTGAACCCTCTTCATTACTAAACTTTACACATTAATACTGTGAATCTTATTAGCTCTTGGGAATTATTCAGGAGAAATATACTGTCTATCAACCTTCAACACTACATTATACAACTTAGGGGCAATACTGTATCTTAACTACTGGTAACCACATAAACGTTTAATTAACAAATGTTTGTTAATAAAATCAATCTAAATAGTTATTCTGTTTGCTGTTTCAGTAGCTAGCGTTTACTCTTCTATAAAATTGATGTTTTTTAGTATAAGATTTATTGTTATAGTAATATCTTATTAGCTATTTCAGAAGAAAATTTTGTACTTAATTCCTACCATCAAGTGCCTAATTATTTTTATTAAAACCAATATTCCTAAAAGAAAATACAGGTGACCACTGAACAACACAGGGGATTAAGGCACCCAACACCACCCCCTCCTACTCCTGTGCATTCAGAAATTCATGTATAACTTTGGACTTCACAAAAATTTAGTTGTCCCTTGGTACCCACAAAGTATTGGTTCCAGCCTCCCTCCTTACCCCCCACCCGCAGATAACAAAATCTGTGAATGCTCAAGTTCCCTACATAAAGTAGCATAGCTCGCCCTAACTGGTTTGGCTCAGTGGATAGAGTGTCAGCCTGCAGACTGAAAGGCCTCAGGTTCAATTCCGGTCAAGGGCATGTACCTTGGTTGCAGGCACATTCCCAGTAGGGGATGTGCAGGAGGCAGCTGATCTATGTTTCTAACTATCCCTCTCCCTTCCTCTCTGTAAAACATCAGTAAAATATATTTAAAAAAATAAAAAATAAAAAAATAAAGTAGCATAGCTCAATGCATAGTCAGCCCTCCACATCCATAACTCCCAACCTCAGATTGAAAACAATATAGTATTGAAAACAATCCATGTATAAGGAGACCCACAAAGTTCAAACCCATGTTGTTCAAGGATCAACTGTACCTTTCTTTGCCATTCAAGTAAATGATTTAACAATTTCTTAAAGGATCATTCTGCATGCAACCTTTCACTTTATTTTACTCATACTCAAATGAGAGTAAAACAATTTCTAATTTTTACGCAGCAATCCATTTTGAAAGTCTAAGAAGTCACTGATAACCCCAAAGTGAGATATTTCTTATTTATTAAAGTAGCCTATCTGTGAGTTACTTCCTTACCTATAAAAAAGAACATAAGCTTCTGCATTTTGTACAGTAGATTCTGAAACTTCAGTGACACTCTGATCGTCAAATTCATACCAGAGATTATTTAAATTGTTTCGGCAGTAGGCAATATAGTGTCCACCTGAATTTAAGAGAAAAATTTTTTTAATCATTTCAGTAATACCAATTAATACAAGAATGGAAAACAAACTACTTTTATATTCCAAGTTCTTAGCAGAGACTGAGATACAGCAAGACCTATAATTTTTCCCCAGTATGTATATATCCTCACCACCATCACTTCAGGAAACACAAATAAGGATAGCAAATGTAACCTTAAAAAACCCAGAGTAAAAATGATCATGTTAAAGTACTTATTATTTAATTGTATACAAAATATAGTTTTCCAGTATTTCCAACTTCAGTGTAAAATTATTCAATTTCCTAAATTTTTTGACTTTTTGTTTCATTTTAATCCTCACCCAAGGATATTTTTCCCTTTGATTTCTAGAGAGAGTTAAAGGGAGGAATGGGAGGGAGAGGAGAGAAAGAGAGAGAAACATCACATTGATTGGTTGCCTCCCGCCACTGAGCAACTGACCACAGCTTAACATGTTTTTAATAACCAAAATAAAATAAGAGTAAATTTTAAAAAATCTACTTTTACAATGTTTTCTTTGGTTCAATCAGGTCTTACTTAAAAGATCAACTCAGATGTTTACTATTTTTAATATAATCTAAGAAGAACATATGTCAAACCTGTATACTTACTACTTGCAGTTCCATGATGACAAATGACTGACAGAAGATCATAGGTAACAATTTGAGCTGGACTATCTTTAGCAAGAAATGGCTGAAGATCCAGGCCTTCCAGTGGAAATGAAACATGGGTACTGATTTTGGTGGAAAACATCAGTTCATGCCTGAATCTTTTGAGATGGATGCATAAAATCTAAAAGAAAAAGGCAACATTAAGATTCTATTGCTTTATATGCTAGATAAAGGAGTCTATTAAATATACGTACTGAATTAAGTGTCAAGGTTAAACATTGTTCTGCAATTATGATAACCTCATTCCAGAGGTGTTAAAATGTGGAAATAGTGAAACATGGTACTTACTAAATTTACAGCTACTGGGTTTTCTAATTTTACTCTTTATACCTGTAAGAGCCTACAATGTCTGATTAAGCTGTGCTCAACATCGTTTCACTGGTAAGGGTACTTACTTGCTATGTAACTCAATGTTTTAAAAATGGATACCCCTAATAGGACATAAATAGCAACTGGTCAATAGAAACAGTCCATTATTTACCCATGCTAAAAAAATTTACTACTAATTCATTGTGTTTCTACCAGAAAAAATAAATTGGATTATAATAAAGCCCATACCTCAGGAAACTTTTGTACTTTACAAAACTTTACTCCATTCCTCAACCTAAGGTGAGAAAAGAGAAAAACAATTAAAATAAACCCATTTCCCATAGGAGTGGAAAAAAGCTTTAGTATTTTCAAATATTCAATGAAGTCTTTTAGAAAATGCAGAGACAAAAGACCTCAGACTAAAAATGCTCACTGATGCATTATAGGCTATACATGAAAAAATATACACTAATAAAACACTGGAATCCCTTATTGTAAAAATTATTTAAACTAAGCTATCTAATAAAAATGTAGGGAGTTGTGTGATTCTTTGATAAAATTTAATTTTTTGTAAACAAGCAATCAAAACATAAACAAACTCATAGATACAGGGAACAAAATGATGCCTGCCAGATGGGAGGGGAGTTAAGGGGTTGGGTGAAAAAGGTGAAAGGGCCAATTCTGCTCAATGGTTAGAGTGTCAGCCCTAGGACTGAAGGGTCTTAGGTTTGATTTCAGTCAAGGGCATGTACCTCAGCTGCAGGCTCTATCCCAGTAGGAACACATTCAGGAGGCAACCAATTGATGTATCTCTCTCACATCAATGTTTCTCCCTCTTTCTCATACTCCCTTCCCCTCTCTCTAAAAATCAATGGAAAAATATCCTTGGGTGAGGATTTTAAAAAAAAAGTACAACTAGAAGTTACAAAATAGTCACAGGGATGTAAAGTGTAGCATAGGGAATGTGGTCAATAATATTGTAATAACAATATATGAAATCACACAGATAATGATTTATCAGGGCAATCACTATCTAACCACTAGGTTGTACTCCTGAAACTAATATAATATTGAATGTCAATTATAATTTTTTTAAATTAAATTAATAAATAAAAGTCCTACTATCCATGGCCTGCTTACACTTTTATTATCATCCAGCTTATCGCCCTAGCTGGTTTGACTCAGTGGATACAGCACTGGCCTGTAGGCTGAAGGGTCCTGGGTTCAATTCCAGTCAAGGGCACATGCCCGGGTCAGGGGCTCAGTCCCCATTGGGGGAGCATGCAGGAGGCAGCCGGTCAATGATTCTCTCTCATCACTGATGTTTTTATCTCTCTCCCCCTCTCCCTTCCTCTGAAATCAATAAAAATAAACACACACACACACACACACACACACACACACACACACACACACACAAAATCCAGATTATCAAGTAAAATTGGGTAAAATAAAATCCCAATTTCATGGAATTGGTTGGTCAGGTCAACATATTTATTATACGTTTCTTTTTTAAAAAATTAAATTTATTGGGGGTAGCACTGGATAATAACGACGTAGGTTTCAAGTGTACAGTTCTATAAAACATCATGTGCTCACCACCCAAAGTCTGGTCTCCTTCTATCACCATATATTTGACCCCTTTTACCCTCTTCACCCTCCCCACCCCCTGAAGCCCCTTTCCCCTCTGGTAACCACCATACTGTCTTCTGTGTCTATAAGTTTGTTTGTTGATTTTGTTTGCACATTTTTGCTGTTTTATATACCACATGAGTGAAAAATTATATGGTTCTTGTCCTTTTCCATCTGCTTATTTTGCTTAGCATGATACTCTCAAGACCCATCTATGTGCCAAAATATAACCTTTATTCTTAAAAGTGGAAACAATTTGAGATATATGCTGATTATTAGTAATAATCTATATTAATATACAATTGACAGATTTCTACCTTGGATTTGGGGGCTGATGCAAGGTTCTTTTCTATCTCCACTAGTATTATCTCGTACTAGTTGGTAAGTTTTTCTCAAACCAGGTTCCCCCCTGTAGGCCAACACCCTCTTCAGCAAGATATGGCTTCAAGGACAAACCAACAATACTTTCCAATTTTCTAGAAGTATAATCTTTTCTAGAAAGTACAAGGCAGCCTTTCATCCTTATTAACCAAATATGCCATTCCTTTTTGTCATGAAGAGGACTAATTGCTGCAGATCAACATTTCTCTGTGATTATTGCCAACAGACAGAAGTTTGTATTATAAAGATTCTATATCTTATTAGGAGACCATTATTTTTCTATTACAGAGATTTAAAAAATATTTACCAGTTCACTCTATCTCAAACACATTTGCCTTCAATTCACTAATTACTTTTCTAACTTATCACCAAGAAGCCTTAAAAGCCTGAATTTATTACAACACAGAACAAGGCAACTACTACTAAATATAAAGAAACAAAATCCATCCTGACTGGTATGGCTCCGTGGTTGACCATCAACCTATGAACCAGGAGGTCATGGTTCAATTCCTGATCAGGGCATTTGCCCAGGTTGTGGGCTCAGAGTGCAGGAGGCAGCTGATCAATGATTCTCATCATTAATGTTTCTATCTCTCTCTCCCTCTCCCTTCCCCTCCGAAATCAATAAAAATATATTTTTTAAAAAAGAAAGAAAATCCATACTTTTGCCCTGACCGGTTTGGCTCAGTGGATAGAGCGTCGGCCTGCGGACTGAAGGGTCCCGGGTTCAATTCCGGTCAAGGGCATGTACCTTGGTTGCGGGCACATCCCCGGTGGGGAGTGTACAGGAGGCAGCTGATCAGTGTTTCTCTCTCATTGATGTTTCTAACTCTCTATCCCTCTCCATTCCTCTCTGTAAAAAATCAATAAAACATATTTAAAAAAAAAAAAGAAAGAAAGAAAAGAAAATCCATACTTTGTTTAACTGTATTTCTATTCTGCCAGCATACAGCAGGTAACATCAAGGTTGGTATAACCCTTCTGAATTTTACGTAGATTTGAAACTGCATAATTTACAGCCACTCTCACTTCTTTGAATTCGGTCTGTTAACATGGTAATCCAGAAGAGAATATTCCTTATTTATGATGACAAAACTTAATATAATGAAAATGTATGTTATATATCTCAATATATCTTTTATAATGTATGTGGAAAGTTTTATGCAAAATTATATACTTATTTTAAATCTAGAAATACACTCTTACATCTTAGATAAGTGTATTAAATTTGTTACATTTTTGCTTCCAATTTGTTTTATAAAACAACCAGCCTCTTTATTTTTATTAGGACAAAGTTCACTAGCCTTTATTTTTCTAAATAAAGAGGAATTTTAGAGGAGAAACTAAGATGGCGGCATAGGTAAACACCGGGAAATTGCCGCCTCTCACAACAATTGAAAATTACCGCAAAGGACAGAGCAAACATCATCCAGAACAACAGGAAGGCTGGCTGAGTGTAAATTCTACAACTAGAAGGAAAGAAAAGCACGCTGAGAGCAAGAGGCGCTGCGGAGGTGAAGTGCAGAGGTACAAGTGCAGAGGTACGGCGGCTCGCGCGCGCGCTCACGCGAGGAAAGGGGGTGGCACCTGAGGACGCGGCTGTCTTTTTGAATCACAAGCTCCCGACTGCTCTGAACTCCGGTTCCGGGAAGTCTCTGGGGACCCAGGACTCATACGGGAAGAAGCTGGTCTGTCGGGCAGCAGGCGAACTTGAAGGCGGCTTTCCCTCAGAGGTGCTTGCAGCAATTAGCGGGTCACTGAGACCCGCGACTCCGGGCGGAGAATCAGCCATAGCTCCTTGATCCGCCCTTTGATTCCCTGAGACCCCGCCCCACCCAGGCTGCGGCAGAGGCTTTTGCATGTGAATGTACCTAACTGCAGCCGAGCCGGGCAGACCCGGAAGAAGGCCCAAGGCCCCACAGCGGCTTGCATTGCTTCACAGCTGAGCCTCTTCATGGCTCCTGCTGTGTGGCCTCAGGCAGAGGCTGAATTAGCACCTCCTTAGATCCAGGAGGCACTGTACCCAGTGGTCAGAGGGGGACCATCCAGATTGCAACTCCTCAGATCCATAAGGGACACACTCAGGGAGCAGACTCAGTGAGCACCAAAGCCCCACTGAAGCAAGTCTTGCCCCAGAAGGGTGTCTTCAGCACAGAAGTTCTCCCACTTTAGACACAGCTGATTCTCACAGCCAATTGGCCTGGAGGTCAATTCCTCCCAGTGATCCTACAACAACCAAGGCACCAAGAGTGCACCAAGAGTGTCCACCCCAGGTAACTGGGGAGGCTGAGCTACTGGGCCCTACAGGACACCTGGCGCGCAGGGCCACTCTATCAACACAGGGAAGCTGCCAAAATGCGGAGACAAAGAAACAGGTCACAAATGGCAGAAATGGAGGAAAGCAAACGACTGGATATAGAGTTCAAGGCCACGTTTATAAGGTTTTTCAAGAATTTTATGGAAACCGCTGATAAATTTAATGAATCCCTCAATAAGTATAGTGAGACCATGGAGGACATGAAAAAGGACCAACTAGAAATTAAGCATACACTGACTGAAATAAAGAATAATTTATAGAGATCCAACAGCAGACAAGAGGATCCCAAGAATCAAGTCAAAGATTTGAAATACAAAGAAACAAAAAATACCCAACCGAAAAAGAAAAAAGAAAAGAGATTCCAAAAATATGAAGATAGTGTAAGGAACCTCTGGGACAACTTCAAGCGTACCAACATCAGAATTATAGGGGTACCAGAAGGAGAGAGAGGGCAAGATATTGAAAACCTTTTTGAAGAAATAATGACAGAAAACTTCCCCTACCTGGTGAAAGAAATAGACTTACAAGTCCAGGAAGTGCAGAGAACCCCAAACAAAAGGAATCCAAAGAGGATCACACCAAGACACATCATAATTAAAATGCCAAGAGCAAAAGATAAAGAGAGAATCTTAAAAGCAGCAAGAGAAAGACAGTCAGTTACCTACTAGGGAGTACCCATACGACTGTCAGCTGATTTCTCAACAGAAACCATGCAGGCCAGAAGAGAGTGGCAAGAAATATTCAAAGTGATGAATAGCAAGAACCTGCAACCAAGATTACTTTATCCAGCAAAGCTATCATTCAGAATAGAAGGTCAGATAAAGAGCTTCACGGATAAGAAAAAGCTAAAGGAGTTCATCACCACCAAACCAGCATTATATGAAATGCTGAAAGGTATTCTTTAAGAAGAGGAAGAAGAAAAAGGAACTCTTACCATTTGCCACAGCATGGATGGAACTGGAGAGCGGATAAATACCACAGGATCTCACTCATTTGTGGAATATAATGAACAACATAAACTGATGAACAAGGACTGATCCAGAGACGGAGAGGTATTGATTGGACTGTTGGGACTTGGAGGGAAGGTAGGGGAGGGTGGGGGTAAGGGGGAAAGATCAACCAAAGGACTTATATGCAAGCATATAGGCCTAATCAATGGACATGGACAACGGGGGGGTGAGGGCATGAGCGGGGGGGGGGGGGGGTTGGGGGGTAGAGGGTAACGTGGGGACAAGGACACATATGTAATATCTTAATCAATAAAAAATATATTAAAAAAAAAAAAAGAGGAATTTTAACTCAATTCAAGTAACCACCACCACAACAAAATACCATTTAAAATACAGAACATGTTATTAAAAGCATTGGCAATAACACTTACTTTTTGCATTTTTCACAACTGTACATATTGTCACCTGAAAATAGAATAAATCTGGTCACTCCTCTCAAATGAAAAGCAAGATATTTTCTTTTGGTTCTGCAATTCTGTTGAGTCTGCTACATGCTCACCTTGCAGCACAGTAACACAAGGCTCACATTTTTTAGTCTCTGAGCAGGAGTCAGCTCACAATGTATACCTTGCCTAAAGCACCCTGACCTCCCTCTCTTTTCAACCTTGAAAGCCTATCTTAAAGAACATCCTTTCCATTCACCCACTCAACCAAATTTACTGACTGCCCATTACATGACTGCCCACACAAAGTACTGCACATATAAAAATACTGAAGGATCGTAAATATTATGAAGGGATTCACAGACTAGTCCAGATATATAAGACTTTCATATTGGTTGAATTTTCCCTTCTTTGAATCCCTGAAAAGTTTTAAGACACCTCATGTCATCTTATCTAGTACTATAGGAACTAGTATAAATTATTTCAAGATATGATTTGTGGTATTTATAGTTATAGCACCACGGTAGATAATGGCACTGTGGTAATATGGGCAAGTACTACTTAAGCTCCTTAAAATTTAGCTTTTATAAACATTTTATGTTCAGTCCTACTAGTATTTTAGATTACCCACAACAATTTAGTCATATTTCTTACCTTTTAATTCATCTCTAGCGAAGAAGGCAGCAAGACAATCTTGCAAGGTTACTATTGGACCCCAAAACCAGCTAGGGACACATGAGACAACAAACCTGAAACATTATCAATAGAAAAAAAAAGGAAGTGTTCTGCCAGTACAGCAGAAACAGCAGTTTTAACAATCAATCAATTTTTTAAAAAATGCATACATACCTCTTCACATATTCCATGAAAAAAGCTATCCACCCTTGTGGAGCATACGCTTCACCGCATGATCCTGCTTTGACTATGGAAGTTGGATGACTCGATGAATGCAGCTTAGCAAGGTCTTCCTTGCCAGGAATTGGCAAGGAGAGATCTTGGAAGGTCTCCAGGGTTACAGACACCTAAAATTGTTTTGTGTTTTAAGAATGGGATGAAAATAAGGCAGTTCAAACATTCATGAGAACAGATTTTAGACTGCAAAGATCAAATCAAGTTATGATAAACAAAAACATCAAATTGCTTTATTGTAATAACAGCAGCAAAACACTTTCTCTGTACCAAGTGCTGTTCTAAATGTAATCCTCACATAAACCTTCTGAGATAACTACTAACATCACATTACTCGAGGAAACTGTAGCATAGAGAGGTACCTCACATCCAGTCACTGTAGTGGGAGGTACAAACTCTTATGCACTACTGTATTTACATTTGGAAATGACCTCTTCATAATAGTTTTTAAATGTTGTTTTTTTAAAAAGTTGTAAAACCTAGCATGTGGTTTTTTTTTAAATAGCTGAAAACATGTCAGGACAAGTCCATTTAAATATTTGGTACCAAATCAGCATATATTAAAATTACCCTATTGGAAGCCCTTAGGTTTTACTTAAGATTTTAACACAATAATTGAAAACTTACTTCTGCATTGTTGTTGTTTTATGGGGGGTTTGGAGGGGAGTGTCATTTTAATTTCAGTAGTTACATTCATTCCTACACTGAAGTAAAACTGCTCTTAAGAAAAGCTCAAAGAAACTCAGGGGTTTAGAGGTATTATTAAAGAACTCATGATAATTTTAATGTATGTTCTTATATATGAATCTGATACTACCTTTATTGTCTGAGCCCCAATCTTAATAAAGGAAAATATGTACAGGCCATATAACCAAATGCAGAAGACACAATCACAGTTCAGTACCTGTGAGCAGCAACAGTTTCCCAGCATATTAATTTCATCAGCCTTATGAGAATGTGGGTGCTACCAGTTCTTGCTGCTGAGCAACAAATTACCTTTATATGTGACCAGAGATGAAGAACGGAGTTAATCTTCCTGTGATTCATGCCTGTCCAATGATGGGTCAAGACTCAATCTTTAAGAACTATGTTGCTATTATTCCCAAAAAACAATTCTATGTCTAGAATCAATTATACTAATATAAACACAAGAAACACATGTGTAATCAGCAGCAGCTCCTTGCTACTGATGAGGAGTTACAGTAAACTTCTCATACCATTTTGCCAGTTTTTTTAAAAACTAGCATTTGACAAAAAAATTCCTGTGTATTATAATTCCTTCATACTCACCCTGTCACAAGTGAGACACTGCACTGAACTAATGATTGTTCCATCAAAAACGTCTGAAATAACACTTCGGTATTTCTTGTGCTGTTTTTTTCTCTTTGGGGATGATGCAGATTGAGCTAGGACTGAGAAATAAGGGTTGAAATATTTTTTTAAAATCAAAGTAGCTCCTTTCTTTAAGCATTTTTCTCTGGAATCTTTAACAATAAAATTTACTATGCTGACGAAATTTGTCAAAATACTATTGAAGAGCCTTGCTTTAAAAAAAGGAGAGAGAAACCAAGTGAAATAAGAGAAGAGGGATTCAGTCTCCCTATCTTGACTTCGATCAGAACAGTTTTGCTTTTACTTGTTTGCTTTTACTCTAAGTAAAGCTATATTTGAAGAAATGATTCTATAATTAAGCTGAGAGTTCTTTATATATTCTAGATACAAGTGCTTTGTATGTGATTTGCAAATATTGTTTCTCCGCCTTATCTTTTTTTCATTCTCTTAATAGTGTCTTCTGGTTGTTTTTTTTCCTTTATGGATCATGCTTTTGATGTCTTTGTCTAAAACAACATCACTAAGGTTTTTCCCTATGTTTTTTCTAAGAGTTTACTAGTTTTACATTTTATAATACTGGAACTCTCATTCATAGCTGGCAGGAATGCAAATGATACAGCCGCTCTTGAAAACAACTTCATATGACTTAAAGCATAAAACCTTATAATTCCACTTCTAGGTGTTTACTCTGGACAAATGAAAACTTATGTTCATAGAGAAACCTATACACAAATGTTTATAGCATTATTCATAATTGCTAAAAACAGGAAGCAATTCAAATGTCCTTCAATGAGTGAATGAATAAAGAGTAGTAGTCATACAATGAGTAATAAAAAGGAACTATTCAGACATGCAATGTAACTTTTATCTCAAATGCATTATACTGAGTGAAAAAAATCTATTTCAAAAGACTACATACTGTATGATTCCATTTATATGACATTCTGGAAAAGGCAAAACAATAAGAATAGAGGACAGAGCAACAGAACTAGTGATTAGAAAGGGGTTAGGGGTAGGAGAGTCTGATTACAAGCAGTAGTATAAGGGAATTCTTTGGGATGCTGGAACTGTTCTATATTCTGTTTGTGGTAGTGGTAACAAGAATCTATTCATGTATTAAAACTCAGGACTCTGCCGAAACCGGTTTGGCTCAGTGGATAGAGCGTCGGCCTGCGGACTGAGGGGTCCCGGGTTCGATTCCGGTCAAGGGCATGTGCCTGGGTTGCGGGCACATCCCCGGTGGGAGATGTGCAGGAGGCAGCTGGTCGATGTTTCTCTCTCATCGATGTTTCTAGCTCTCTATCTCTCTCCCTTCCTCTCTGTGGAGAATCAATAAAATATATTTAAAAAAACAAACAAACAAACAAAAAAACTCAGGACTCTATACCAAGAGTGAATTCTATTGTATATAAATTTGTGCCACACATACAAAAAAAATTTAAATCATGGTTGTGTAAAATTATGCTGTCAATTTTAAAGGACTGATTAATATTTCATAATTAATACTTTAAATGGTCAAAACAAAGTAGCCTGAGTAACTGAAACATCTACCTCTTTTTTGTGTGGATGCCAATCCTGGCCACAAACTGCCTGATTTTGGAGGGCTTGCTGATAAACGTGGATTAACACCTTCATTTGATGGAAGGATCTGTGGTGTAGACAGGTCATTCAAATGGACATCGGTAATATATTCTGAAATATTAAAAATTTGTGTCATAACTTTAAATAGTAAAATTATTCTACCTGTCAAATAATGTTAATTATGTTAAAGGTTTCTTCATTTGAGATTTTGAACACAATTCACATTAATAAATGTAGAGTGAAATACTTGATAAAATGCTAAGGGAAGTAACAGTGATTTCCTCCCTAGGAATACAATTAATGCTTTTAACACATTACTATTGTAGGCATTCAGGAAGTGAACAGTGGAAATATAAAGCCAAAGAGAATCATATTTGTCCTAATTTATTATTTAAAAAAAGATATTTAGGACAGTTTTTAAAAAAATAGCTTTTAAAACAGTGTGGGGCAAAAAGATTATCTCTCCAAACTAACATAGTAATCAAAATCTAATAAGAAATTTAGGCATAAAATCATTATAAATTATTTTATTCTTACTGTGATAAAATAAAATTGACCCCTTTGTCAGGAAAGGACCTTTTTGGAATTAAATTATAAATCAAGAAAAAATAAGCTCCATGAGCACTATGTCAATAGCTGCTGTTGGAGTCTCAATACATAACATGCATTCAAGTAAGGGACTGTGCTCAATAAGTATTTACTTAAGAAAAGAGAATTGTTCCTAAGAGACTCTGAAACAGAACAACTTCAGGGATTTTTCTGAATAATGCAAAATAAATTACGTTCACATAAGCACTTCTCATTATGTCCAGCATGACTAAAAGCAGACTGCATAAATTTGGAGGGAAAGAAGCGAAGAGACTCACTCCTTTCTGAAGGGAATAAAGCTACTATGATCTAGATCAAGAATTGGCAAATGTTTCCTGTAAAGGGTCAGAGAGTAAGTATTTTAGGTTTTGTGTGCCACATTTGGTCTTTGTCACATTTTAAATCATGTCTTTAAAAAATGTAAAAGCTGCCCTGGCCAGTTTGGCTCACTGGATAGAGCGTCAGCCTGGGGACTAAAGAGTCCCGGGGTCGATTCTGGTCAGGGGCGTGTGCCTTGGTTGCGGGCACATGCCCAGTGGAGGGTGTGCAGGAGGCAGCTGATCGATGCTTCTCTTTCACTGATGTTTCTGACTCTCTATCCCTCTACCTTCCTCTTTATAAAAAAATCAATAAAATATTTTTTAAAAAAATAAAAAATAAATAAAAATAAAAAATGTGAAAGCTCATATCCCTATTCTAGGTCACCAATTAGTTACTATGTATAAGAACAGCAATAAAGAATGAGTATGTTCCTTAACCAGACTTTTTACAAGGGCTGGACAGCATCTAAGCTAAGTCTTCCAATGTATTAACTATTCAACTTCTAAATATAAGGGCAGTATACTTAAGGAATCTAATAAGTTTTCCTGACTAGAAGGCATGTATGCACTATACAGAGGTGAACCACTTAAGAAGGAATTTTGGGTTCTTTCAAATACCTAAATTGTATAGTGGTTCTCACTCTTCAGTAATTACAGAATAAATTATTTTTTTTACTTGTCTGACACTCATTTTAAGATCAGAAAAAATTTGAACCTCTGATGGTTTAATTTTATGTGCTTTGGAGAACTAAATACCACACTAAGCCAAGATAAGTTAACTACTGAAGAAATAAATGTAAAATACAAAGAGATCTAGATCAACATCTTTCATTTGACCCTTGGCTCTTTCTCAAAGGAACACTGACTAGTATTAGAATGTATCACACAAGGCTCATTATAGTTAAAGTCCTACACTAACAACACATATACAAAATATTTCGGGGCTGATGAGATTCCAATAACAGCAACCTAAATGTAACAGTGTATATGTTTACAAAACTGCAGCTGGATTACTTTGCTTTTTCCCAGGATCTTAACAGAATCTGCTTAAAATGACATAAACTTAACACTCACATACATGCATATACTGCTAAATTCTACTACTTAAAAAGTCCAAACATAACTATTTAATTCCCCTTTTCTGCAAGTTAGTATGGTTGAACTATGTCATATACTACACACAAAATATTAAGCTAAAATTATTAATCATCCTATTTCATTCTTACTTTGCTAAATATAAATTGTGAACATTAATATGTAAATAAGTATTTTGATTTTAGTCACATGCCATGCTAATTTTCCCTCAGTGTACCAATGAAACACTACTATTTTCAAATTATTAAAATTGTTACCTGAAGCTCTGCCATGTATTTGCACTTTAACCGTTTCCTGGTTGTTCAAATCGTCTGTTTCAGACACAGAGTCTTTATCTTTATCTAATTCTCCTTCAGAATTTACTTTATTAATCTTATTACACATCTTCTCTTTTTGCCAATCTTTTGACATTTCTGAATTATTCTCATCATCCTGAATTAACATTGTTGTCTCATTATTATCTTCAGAAAAGCCTCTAGAGCCATTATCATTTTCAGCTTTATCACTGCCGCTACAAGATTCACAAGACTGAAAATCTACATCTGACTGGCTCTTGTCTTCGTCCATGGTCTCCTCAGTCATTATCGTTTGAGGATCTTCTTCTACTTCCATGACCTGTTCTTTCAGCTCTTCATGAAGCAGATCCATTAAACATCGAAGGAATTCTTGAGCATCCTAATGTAAAAGCAAAATAGATATTACCGCTTCATGAAAAATATGTGTATGCATGTAGAAACTTAAGGAAAAATATACAGAATGTGGTTGTCAACTGTTATCAACTAAATGTGTAGCATTATACTGAGGAAATACAATTTCATAGAACATAAAGCATTGGAGGGATGGGAAGCACCAAATCGTAAAAAGTTATGTAAATGAAACAAAAGTAATTATAAAACTGAAGATGATCTGGAGGTCAGCTTTTAGTAGTGCTGCTATTTTTAAAAAGTGGAGGAGTAAAGTATAAAGAAAACCTGGATTTGCTTCGTGTGACTATTCGGAGAGATGTCCTAAATTCAAATACTTTAACTTAAAATTAAAGCTTTATCCAATTTTGTACTATATCTTAAAGAGAAATCTTTAATCAACCTGAAATGCTTACTAAAAATACAAATTTGTAAGCCCCAAATCATATCTACAAAATCACAGTCTCTGGTGATCCAGGAATTTGCACACAAAAAAATTAACAGGGGCCGAAACCGGTTTGGCTCAGTGGATAGAGCGTCGGCCTGCGGACTGAAAGGTCCCAGGTTCGATTCCGGTCAAGGGCATGTACCTGGGTTGCGGGCATATCCCCAGTAGGAGATGTGCAGGAGGCAGCTGATCGATGTTTCTCTCTCATTGATGTTTCTAACTCTCTATCTCTCTCCCTTCCTCTCTGTAAAAATTCAATAAAATATATTTTTTAAAAAAGAGAGAAAAAAAAAATTAACGGGGAATAGGTATTGTTTTGAAAAAGAAAAATGTTAGGGCCAGGTATGAATACTAAAAGATATTATATAAACTACAATAATTGAAACTACCATTAGTACTAATACAAAAAAATATAGGTAAATGAAACAGAGTAGGAAGCCCAGAAACAGATCCTATTTTATATATTAATGTAAGCACTAAAACAATAGAAAGAGATTTTTTAAATCATATTTTTTAAGTCTTAAATTTACAGTTTGGTACTGTTAGCTTTTTGTAAAAATTAATATTTGAATCATATTGTAATATGAAATAAATAATATGTATTGAAAAATTACATTTTTCAAAAATGAAAGCATAAAATATAGAAAGCATAGATGAAAATTTATCTCTGATGTAGAACTTTTCAAAGTTAAAAGCACTAGAATTATTGACATTAGTGGCCTAGTGCACGGATTCATGCACATTGAAAGAAAATTAATTAGAAATATTTTAATATCGCTATTTGCCCTTTCTCTATAATAGACGTGTCAGAGATGAAAATTAGTAAAATGTATATGAAAATAATATATAAATTGATTAAAAACAATAACAATATAACAAAGACATGATATAAAAACAAAAACATGATATAAAAACATTGATAAAAACAATGACTGATAAATTGATTAAACTTATTCTAATATCTCACTGTATACCACATTAAGACTAAAAACACATTAATAGTGCTTGACTAATTCCCCTTGTGATGAAGTATTTAAAACTTTAATGTCACATGCTCTTTGAACTCAAGAGAAAGCAACATATAACTGACCATGTCTGAAAACAAGTTCAGGTAGGAATATTCCTACTCTGTCTGGATTGGTGCCAGCAAGAGCTTTATATGTATCGTGCATGCGTGAGTCAACATTTATTTTTAAATTGCCAGTCGCATCATATGTACCGGCTGGTCAGTCAGTCAGATGGATGGATGGATGGATGGTCAGTTACTTAGCCTTTTATATATATATAGGTTTACCCACCCCAAAACTCAAAATTTCTAGGAATATAGAAAATTAAGGATAGAAAAATATAAGAAGAAAATAAGATAAAAGATTATTCTTGTTAAATAAAGACATGAGAGAAAAGTAATAAAAAAATAAATGAACAAATAAATTATATAGGAAGAAATACAAATTACCACATAATAGCATAATACATAATGGCATGTAGCAAATTTATTAAAGATGAATATTATGAAAAGCAATGAAGACTTACCTGCTGAGAATACCCCCGAAAAGTTGGATTTACAGTTTTAATTCCTTGAAACAGATTAGTAGGCACAACAGAACCTGGCCTAAGGAAGAAAACATTTTTAATGATAAATTTGTGATGTTTTGTTTATTTAGAGTTTAGCAATCAAGAATTGAAGGTATTAAATTGAAAAGTGTTTGTGTTTCAAAAAAATCATTCAAAATTGACCAGTATTATGTTTCATAGACTTGTCAGACAGCTAATTACTGATATTTAGGCTATATTTTATTGTTCTCTTCCCTAATGAAATTATCATACTCTATTATATAATGTTTCAAAAATACTGAATTATTTAAAATAAAAATTTATTTACTTAAAATTTCTGGGGTAATTAAGGTAAGTGTACCTAGTATACTATCTAACTAAAGATTTAAAACCAGACATTAAATACCCATGAAAACAAGTGAAAAGTAAACCAATATATGAGATTTTTAAGTCCTTAGAAGTCTGTGCTATGACATTTAAGGCTTACATTTAAGTCTTTTATCCATTTTGAGTTTATCCTTGTATATGATCTAAGTTGGTGGTCTAGTTTCATTTTTTTGCATGTATCTGGGCAATTTTCCCAATGCCATTTATTGAAGAGACTATCTTTTTTTTGTTTAATATATTTTTATTGATTTTTTACAGAGAGGAAGGGGAAGGGATAGAGTTAGAAACATCGATGAGAGAGAAACATTGATCAGCTGCCTCCTGCACACCCCACACTGGGGATGTGCACGCAACCAAGGTACATGCCCTTGACCGGAATCGAACCTGGGACCTTTCAGTCCACAGGCCGACGCTCTATCCACTGAGCCAAACCAGTTAGGATGAAGAGACTATCTTTATTCCATTGTATGCTCTTGCCTCCTTTGTCAAATATTAATTGACCATATTGGTATGGGTAAATTTCTGGGGTCTCTGTTCTATTCCATTGGTCTATATGCCTGTTCCTGTGCCAGTAATAGACTACGTATTTTGATTACAATAGCTTTATAGTATAGTTTGATATCTGGTATTGTGACTCAACTTTGTTCTTCTTTCTCAAGATTGCTGACATTATTCATGGTCTTTTTGGTTCCATATAAATTTCTGGGATATTGTTTTAGATCTGTGAAATATGCCATTCGTCTTTTAATAGGGATTGTGTTGAATCTGTAGATTCCTCTGGGTAGTAGGGACATTTTAATGATGTTAATTCTTCCTATCAATGTACATGGTATCTGTTTCCACTTGTTCGTATCTTCCTCAATTCCATTTTTCTATTTTTTTCTTTTTTTCAAAAATAAGTCATTATTGTTCAGATTATTACAGTTGTTCCTCTTTTTTCTCCCCATAGCTCCCCTCCACCTGGTTCCCACCCCACCCCATACCCTTACGTGCCCCCACTGTCCTCATCCATAGGTGTTCAATTCTTGGCCAGTCTCTTCCTGCACCCTCCACACCCTCTTCCCCCCGAGAATTGTCAGTCCACTCCCTTTCTATGCCCCTGATTCTATTATATTCACCCATTTATTTTGTTCATTATATTTTTTATTCACTTGATTTTTAGATTCACTTGTTGATATGTATTTGCTGTCACTTTGTTTTTCATAATTTTTATCTTTACCTTTTTCTTCTTCCTCTTCTTAAAGAATACCCTTCAGCATTTCATTAATACTGGTTTGGTGGTGATGAACTCCTTTAGCTTGTTCTTATCTGTGAAGCTCTTTATCTGACTTTCAATTCTAAATGATAGCTTTGCTGGGTAGAGTAATCTTGGTTGTAGGTCCTTGCTATTCATCACTCTGAATATTTCTTGCCACTCCCTTCTGGCCTGCAGAGTTTCTGCTGAGAAATCAGCTGACAGTCATATGGGTATTCCCTTGTAGGTAACTGTTTTCTCTTGCTGCTTTTAAGATTCTCTCTTTGTCTTTTGCCCTTGGCATTTTAATTATGATGTGTCTTGGTGTGGTCCTCTTTGGATTCCTTTTGTTTGGGGTTCTCTGCGCTTCCTGGACCTGTAAGTCTATTTCTTTCACCAGGTAGGGGGAGTTTTCTGTTATTATTTCTTCAAATAGGTTTTCAATATCTTGCTCTCTCTCTTCTTCTGGCACCCCCATAATTCTGATGTTGGTACGCTTGAAGCTGTCCCAGAGGCTCCTTACACTATCTTCATATTTTTAGATTCTTTTTTTCATTTTACTTTTCTGGTTGGGTGTTTTTTGCTTCTTTGTATTTCAAATCTTTGACTTGATTCTTGGGACCCTCTAGTCTGCTGTTGGATCTCTGTATATTATTCTTTATTTCAGTCAGTGTATGCTTAATTTCTAATTGGCCCTTTTTCATATCCTTGAGGGTCTCACTAAATTTATCAGAGGTTTCTAGAAGATTCTTGAGTAACCTTATAACCGTGGTTTTGAACTCTATATCAAGTAGTTTGCTTTCCTCCATTTCTTTCATTTGTTACATGTTTCTTTGTCTCCGCATTTTGGCTGCTTCCCTGTGTTGATAGAGTGGCTTTCTGTGCTAGGTGTCCTATAGGGCCCAGTGGCTCGGCCTCCCCAGTCACCTGAGGTGGATGCTCTTGGTGCTCCCCTTTGTGGGCTGTGTGCACAGTCTCGTTGTAGTTAAGCCTTGATTGCTGTTGGTATCACTAGGAGGAATTGACCTCCAGAACAATTGGCTGTGAGAACCAGTTGTGTCTACAATGGGAGAACTGCTGTGCTGGAAACACCCTTATGGGGAAGAACTTGCTTCAGTGGGGCTTTGGTACTCACTGAGTCTGCCCCCTGAGTGTGTCTCTTATGGATCTGAAGAGTTGTAATCTGGTGTGGTCTCACTTTAACCACTGGGTACACTGGCTCTTGGATTTCCAAGGAGGTACAAAGTCAGCCACTGACTGAGGCCACCCAGCAGGAGCTACAGAGAGATCTGCAGATTCCTCCTCTTTGTTTGGGGTTGGAGGTGCCCAGATGAGGTGCAGCTGTGAAGCAATGCTGGCTGCTGATGAGCCAGCCTTAGGCCTTCTTTTGGAAGCTCTGGGGTTCTTTGACCCAGCTTCAGTTTGTTAGGTTAGGTTGCAAAAGGCCAGGCCATTCATATGCAAAAGCCTCTGTGCATAGCTTGGGTGGGGTTGTAAATTGGGTGGGGCATGGTCTCAGGGAATCACAGGGCGGTGTAAACAGCAATGGTTGCCTGTCAGCCCTGCCCCAATAGGTCTCTGGGTCTCTGTGTCCCACGGCCCCATGCAGGAACAATGAACGCTGCGAGCACCTCTGAGAGTAAGCCACCCTCGTGTTCCAGTCTGATGCCAGACAGTCCAGTTTCTCCCCGGATGAGTCTGGGTCCCCAGAGTCTCACAAGAAACTGTATTTCAGAGCAGTCAGAAGTTTGTATCTCCCTCCTGATTGAAAGAGACCACAGCATATCCAGTTGCCAGCCCGTTTCACACACCTCCATACCTCCACTCTTCCACACCTCTGCACCTCCTACCAGTCTAGATGCGCTTTTCTCTATCCCTCTAGTTGTTGGACTTCCACTCAGCCAGCCTTCCCGTGGTTCTGGATGATATCCATTTTGTCTTTTAGTTGTAGTTTTGATGTGATTTTGGGAGGCAGCAAGTACAGGCATTTACCTATGCCGCCATCTTGGTTCTCTCCCTCAATTTCATTTCTCAATGTCCTATAGTTTTTTGAGTACAGGTCTTTTTCCTCCTTGGTCAAGTTTATTCCTAAGTATCTTATTTTTTTGTTGTTGCAATGGTAAATGGCATTTTTTTTTCAGTTTCTCTTTCTGAGAGTTCATTATTGGTGTATAAATATGCCATCATTGATTGATTCTTGCATGTGCCCCGACCGGAAATTGAATCTGCAACCTTGGCATATTGGGATCATGCTCTAACCAACTGAGCATGATATTCATTTAAAACAATAAAGAGCCCTACCTGGTATGGGTCAGTGGATACAGCGTCGGCCTGCGAACTGAAGGATCCTGGTCAAGGGCACATGCCCGGTTGCAGGTTCAATCCCCAGTAGCGGGCATGCAGGAGGCAGCCAATCAATGATTCTCTCTCGTCATTGATGTTTCTCTCTCTCTCTCCCTCACCCTTCCTCTCTGAAATCAATAAAAATATATTTAAAAAATAATATTTTTTAAAAATAAAAGCAATAAAGGAAAGAAATATATTAATTACATACCTGCTTTTATGCCACAGTTCCGTCATCAGTTTGAGATAACTTTTACAAATGGCTGGTTTCTTATCTGTTCGAACTAGTCCTCCACAATCAAGAAAAAACTGTGTCAAAGGTGGGCTGATTTAAAGAAAATGAAATATATGTTAGAGGGTAATCAAGCTTAATACTGATTACTTCCTCGTCAGTCAATTAACTGACAGTACAAAGAGCCCGCTATCTATTATTTCTTTGTTCTCTTTTATAGCTTCACATTCATTTCTTCATATTCTTGCTCAAACCAGATTTGATTCCACCATATCAGAGTCTTCAAAGCCGTCAGATCCAGTTAATACCTTTCACTTTCCTTTCAGTAGCACACACAGGTGACTTACCCCCCCTCATTCTTGAGCAACCCTTCTCTTGGCCAATGTAATGTACCTTTCTTCTTTACCTCTCTGACAGTTCTTTTTCCTCTTTATTGTTCTTTCTGCTCTTACTAGATATCTAAATGTCAGGGTTCCTCAGGACTTGATCCTATAACGTTTTCTCTCTTCCCTACATACACTTTCCCTGGGTAATCTTAAATTATCACACATATGCAATGACAGTCAAATTTACAAAAATGAAACATCTAAACTCCAGAGTTACAACAAATACCCAAAGATATGGCTGTCTTGGGCATCCCAAATTTAACATGCTCAAAATTTAACTTGTAAGTTAATCAGCTTCTTCTAAGCTTCTACAGCCCAGTAAGTGGTACTGCATTCAATGGCTCAAGTTACCAATTTATAAGGCAATGAACTTGATTAACTTGAGGGAACCTCCAAAAATCTATTCACTTACAGTAAACTGTCTGGGCAAAGGACCAAATCCTGGCCTGCAATAAATCAGCTACCATAAAAAGATTCCAGCCCTAGCCGGTTTGGCTCAGTGGATAGAGGATCAGCCTGCAGACCAAAGGGTCCCGGGTTCAATTCCGGTCAAGGGCATGTACCTTGGTTACAGGCTCCTCCCTGGTCCGGGGCCCTAGTCAGGGCTCCTGCAGGAGGCAACCAATTGATGTGTTTCTCTCACATCGATGTTTCTCCCTGTCTCTCTTTCTCTCTTCCATTCTCTCTAAAAATCAATGGAAAAATATCCTTGGGTGAGGATTAACAAAAACAAACAAAAAATAAATAAATAAAATGTTTAAATGTTTAAAAAAACAAAAGATATTTCATGTAAGTGGAACCATAAGAAAACCTGGGTAAACATACTTATATTAGACAAAATAGATTTTATCTCAAAAAACTGTAACAAGAAATAAAGAAGGTCGTTCTGTAATGATAAAGGTGTCAATTCATTAAGAGGGTATCATTTGTAAATATGTATGTACCCAATATAGGAGCATCTAAATATATAAAGCAAATAGTAACAGATCTGAAGGGAGACATAGACAGCAGTAGAATAATAGTAGAGGACTTCAATATTCCCAATTTCAACAACGGACAGGTCATCCAGTCAGAAAAATCAACAAGGAAACATTGGACTTAAGCTACACATAACACCAGATGGCCCTAACAGACACATTCAGGACATTCCATCCAACCCAGTTTCTTGCTTACTCTATCTTGACAGTTACCAACAAGAAAAAGAAAATAACTTTTTAGGACTATTAACATATTTCATTTTAGTTAATTCATGTAACTTTCTAAATGGGGCATTTAAGAAAATGGGAGAAAAAGAAACTATGCTTTGAGGGGAGCAAGAAAAGAAGTACAGGCAGGGATTTATAAAATTCTGTTGGCAAGGGGAATTCAATAGAATTGTTAAATCTTTCCCATATTACTATTAATGTGTATCTATTTTTAACCCCTTTTTTTCATACTACAGAGCATGGTTTTCTGCTCAGATTAACTTAAAAAAGCTATACAAACAAAAAAAAAATCAATTTCTCTACTTACCAATTAGAAAGAGCCTGCAAAGCTGCATTCATATAACAAGTATTGCCAATATTTTTCAAACCTGTAAGACCTAGTAAGACAAAGTATAAGCTATGTATCATTCAATGATGCAATGACTCAATAATTTTATGTGTTTACTGAATATGTAACTATGTATGATAGTTATTATAGATCCCAAACTACATTAAGAAAATACAAAATACATTATGCAAATACAAAATAACAGTCTGAACAACTCAGAGAGATCAGACTTATACCAAAGTGTTAATTTTCAGATAGTTATTTAAATATACACTTACGTAAAGGATTAAAATTCCCTTATATCAATTACAAAACAAATTTTTTTGCTAAATTATATAGTTTAGACTAAAACCTGTGGGCTTTGGTAAAGTGATGCCAGAGAAATCAAGCATCACTCGAAGTTGTCAGTTTGCTTTTTGCAAATACAATTTTAATAGTCCAAATTTCAAAATATTTTTATTTTTTAATTTTATCTTTATTGTTGAAAGTATTACAGATGTCCCTTTTCTCCCACTGACCCCCTCCACACTGTTCCCACCCTTTCCGCAGGCCTTCAACCCCTATTGTCTGTGTCCATGGGAGTTATGCATATATGCATATAAATTCTTTGATTAATCTCTTCCCACCCCACCCTCTTTTCCCTCCCTCTGAAATACATCAAATTGTTAAGTGCTTCAATATCTCTGGTTCTATTTTGTTTGTAAGTTAATTTTGTTCAGTAGATTCCACATATATTAAGATCATGTAATACTTGTCTTTCTCTGTCTGGCTTATTTCACTTAGCACAATACTCTCCAGGTCCCTACATGCTGTCTGAAAATGTAATAATTGTTTTTACACCTGCATAGTATTCCACTATGTGCAGTAAACCAGATTCGGGGCTGACAGTGCCCCAGCAACAACATAACCCACAGTCGAAGGTGGAATTGCGCAGCCCCATGAGGAATCGGGCTCCCTCCTCTTTGGTTTCGAGGTGCGTCACCCAAGAACTGCCGCTGCCAAGTCACTGCAATTCAGCAGCTCCTGCATTGAGATTCTGCCCCCTGGTGGTCAGTGCACATTATAGCGACCAGTTGGACAGTAGGAAGGATACTTAGCATATTAGCCTTTTATATATATAGATGCTCAAAGTCACTAATCATGCAAGAGATGCAAATCAAAATGATAATGAGGTACCATCTTACACCTGTCAGAATGGTTATCATCAACAAATCAACAAATGACAAGTGCTGGCGAGGATGTGGAGAAAAGGGTACCCCCGTGCACTGCTGGTAGGAATGCAGACGGGTGCAGCCACCGTGGTGTTTCCTCAAAAAATTAAAAATGAAATTTCCATTTGACCCAATAATCCCACTTCTAGGAATATATCCCAAGAAATCAGAAATACCAATCAGAAAGGATATATGCACCCCTATGTTCATAGCAGCACAATAGCTAAGATTTCAAAACAGCCTAAATGTCCATCAGCAGATGAATGGATTAAAAAACTGTGGTATATCTACACAATGGAATACTATGCTGCCATAAAAAAGAAAGAACTCTAACCATTCACAACAGCATGGATGGATCTGGAGAGCATTACACTAAGCGAAATAAGCCAGCTGGAGAAAGATAAGTATCACATGATCTCACTCATCCTATCTAATAAAAGACTGATATATAAATCAACCATCACTCCACAACAAAGATGGCGGAGCCCATAGTGGCCGGGGTGAGATGCTGGCAGCGTTGCCCTGGCAATGCAAGCCCAGCGCCTGCACCCCGGATGCACGGAGGGTGGGGAGGGGCCTCGGGCCAGAGGGACCTCAGCTTGTTTCTGAGCGTGCTGAGCCCGCAGCCCAGGCACCCAACACCCACCCAACCTTGCCCCCATTCCCCCAAGCCAACCTCTAGAGTCTCACATCAGACTCCTGAAGCCAACGCAGGCAAAGGCACACCCCTAGCTGTCTCCCCCTCCCTCACCTCAACTCCCCGCACCTAGCTGCGAGGCTCTGGGGAGTCTGCTGCAGATCTCCCAGCCAGCACCTCCTGGGCGCCTGCCGGTCCCTATAAGTGCACCACTTTCTGCACCCGCCAGTTCCACCATCCTGTTTCCCCAAGCTCCCTACGGCGTCTGGCTCTCACCCACATCCCTACTGGCTCCCAAGATCCCCACTCTCTCCTGCACCCCCACTCTCTCCTGCACTCCGATGCTTTCTGCGCTTCTTTTGCCTCCTGCATTTAGCTCCCTCCTGCGCCCCCGCTCCCTTGGCTCCCCGTCTACCTCTAGTGACCAGATTTCCAGCCTGGCGAGCCCACACTCCCTTTCGCGAAGAGGGAACCTCGGCAACCTCTAAGCACCCGAGAGCTTTGGACAGCCTGTCCACAAGGGTTGGAGGAGTTTAGCTGAGAGATTGTTCCTCAGGTCAGGCAGCCTAGCAGAATGTAAAATCCTTTCCCCTTCTAGTGGGGACACGTCAGCCTGCGCCCTGCCAGCTCCGGGGATTGAAAGAGGGTGTTCATGGTTAAAGGAAACTTTCCAGCAGAGCGCCTGGCTAAAGCAAACCTCGCATCTGTCAGGAATGCTCTCTGGGCACTGTCTTGCCAGGAGCTTGCGTTCCACTACAGTAGATGCAGCAAGGAAGCAATGATTAGTGCATCTGACAGCTAACGCTGAGGACCAGTAGGAAAAACACACACTCCCCAGTCCTAGCTAGTGAATCTGAGTATGATGCAACCTTGTGTACCTGTACGACAAAGAGAGAGGCTTAAGGAAACATAAACATTTAAGAGTAGAGTAAATGACACTGCCACTAAGAAAGAGCACACTTAATTACACTTTGGACTTTTCACAGTCAGTAAGGACACCTGTATTTTGTGCTTTATGATTCACATGATCTGATCATTTGAGTGGGGCCAATACAAACAAAAAGGCACTGTTGGTTTTGGTAATGAACTGAGATTTCAGATTTCTTGGTTGTTTTCTCCTTTGCCCATGTTCCCAGATTCTCAAAACTCTAGGATTAGTTTTGGGAGGGATGAGAGAAGAAAATATGTAAATACTCAGGAGGATTAAAATCAGATAGCAGTTGAGATGATAGCCATGGTTTTTGAGTTGGCAAATGAATCGGTTTGAAATTTGTGAACCTGGCCTCTGGCTAGGCTGGGCGCAGAACACTTGCGTCGTTGCAGGCCGGGCTGAGGGACCCCCCTCCCATGCACGAATTTCGTGCACCGGGCCTCTAGTTTGTGGAATATAATGAACAACATAAACTGATGAATAAAATCAGATTCAGAGACAGAGAAACATCAAACAGACCATCCAACCTCAAAGGAAAGATGGGAGGTCAGGGAGGAGGGTTAAGGGGTACCACCAAAGGGCTGTATGCATGCATATAAGCATAACTCTTGGACACAGATAGTAGGGAGGTGAGGGCATGTGCTGGAGGGTGTGAACGGCAGGGGAGAGGTCAATGGGGGAAAAGGAGACATATGTAATATTTTAAGCAATAAAGAATTTAAATAATAAAATACAAAAAAAAGAAAGAAAATAATGACAATTTTACTTTCTCCTTTTCAATTTGGATGCCTTTTATTTTTTCTTCTTGCCTGACTGCTGTGGCTAAGACTTTCAGTACTATGTTGAGTAAGAGTGGACATCCCTATCGTGTTCCTGTTCTTAGGGGAAATGCTTTTAGTTTTTGCCCACTGAGTATGATGTTAGCTGTAGGTTTATCATAGAGGGCTTTTATTATGTTGAGGAATGATCCCTCTATTCCCACTCTGCTGAGAGTTTTTATCAAAAATGGATATTGGGCCCAGCCTGTGTAACTCAGTGGTTAAGTGTGAATCCATGTCACAGTTCAATTTGGTCAGGGCACATGCCCAGGTTGCAGGCTTGATCTCCAGTAGGAGGCTTGCAGGAGGCAGCTGATGGATGTTTCTCTCTCATCAATGTTTCTATCTCTCCCTTCCTCTCTTTCTAAAATCAATAAAAATAATTTTTAAAAAGTGTTGGATTTTCCTGTAAGTTTTTTCTGCATCTATTGATATGATCATGTGGTTTTATGTCTTTCAATTTCTTTATGTGATGTATCGCATTTTTATTTTTATTATTATCACCTGCAGAGTTCTTTTCACAACTGTATAATGTGAAATTTTGAAATTTTCACAGGTTCGTACACCTGTGGAGTCCCTTGGCCTGGCCTGTGCCCTCTCACAACCCGGGAACCCACCGGTGCATGATCAGGGCCGGGAAAGGCTCCAGGGCATGTCTGGCCCATCTCACCCAGTCTCAATCAGCCAGACCCCAGCAGTAAGTTAACCTACCAGTCAGAGCATCTGCCCCCTGGTGGCCAGTCTGCGTCATAGCTACTGGTCGAATGGTTGACCAGTTGCTTAGGCTTTTAAATACATAGATGGGCAATACCATACAAAGGAGGGTTATACAGAAGAGTTATTTTACCTCTTGCCTTAAGTTCATCTTCTTCTTCCACTTCTATGTCCAGATCATCAAACACAGCAACCAGAGGAGTTTTTAATGTCGTGTTACTGGGTATTTTAAAATCCTTGATAACAGAACAGATAGTGGACTTAAATCCTTAGGTTAAAATTTTTTAAATTTTATCTCATATATACCACTACAGTCTAAAATTTGGGAAATGTTATTTTTAAGTAAGAATTCACATTATTGCCCTAGCTGGTTTGGCTCAGTGGATAGAGCATCGGCCTGTGAACTGAAAGGTCCCAGGTTCGATTCCGGTCAAGGGCACCTGCCCGGGTTGTGGGCTCAATCCCCAGTGGGGGACTTGCAGGAAGCAGTCGATCCATGATTCTCTCTCATCATGGATGTTTCTATCTCTCTCTCCCTCTTCCTTCCTCTCTGAAATCAATAAAAATAGATTATAAAAATTTAAAAAAGTATCATTTAAAAAAATTCACGTTATTATCAATTAGAACAAAATTTACGTTTATATTTTGAAAGTAATAAGGATCTCTATCTAGAATAGCATGTCACTCTACCTTTATTAACATATGTACTTGAATGACAAAATCACTTGTGACTTTTTTGAACTTGAACACAATCACTCCAATTCAGTAAGGCCACATTACAGTTTAAAAGACCTAAGTGCACATATCCTACATTGTCTTTTCAGATTTTTCATGTTTTTTACAAGAAGCTTGTCCATCATAACATGCTAACTTATCTCTAAACTTCTACAATCTTTCCTGATAATTACTATACTTATTTATCCTTTTCTGCATGTGAAATAATTCATTTGTTTTAAATAGAAATAAAATACTCCAATACTAATTCCCAAGAATTGGCTTAACTCAGAGGTTGCAATTGGTGACCTGTAATGTCAAATGCTGGCCCACACTATTTAACAACAACAACAAAAAAGCAAAATTTGAGCTAATATTTTAAAAATTGGGAGAGCTTACATAAAAATCTGATTTGGCAAGTTCTCTTGTAATAACAGATTATCAAAGTATATTCAGTTGCAGAAGGAAAATGAATAGTAGTATGCACTCAGCATGTGCTCTGATTCTCCAATGTGTAGCTTTATTCCATCTCTATGATGCAAGCATATTCCTTACACTGACCCACTTTATCTTTCTGGCATCTGTAGGTACTGAACATTTGAGGAGGCCCCATATTCTCATTTTGTTATATTTAAATACAGAGAAATGCAGTCTTTAAATAAACCATTTACCGCCTAGAAAAAATTTCTATTTGAGCCGAAACCGGTTTGGCTCAGTGGATGGAGCGTCGGTCTGCGGACTGGAGGGTCCTAGGTTCGATTCCGGTCAAGGGCATGTGCCTGGGTTGCGGGCACATCCCCGGTGGGAGATGTGCAGGAGGCAGCTGATCAATGTTTCTCTCTCATCGATGTTTCTAACTCTCTATCTCTCTCCCTTCCTCTCTGTAAAAAATCAATAAAATATATTTTAAAAAAAAAATTTCTATTTGAAAAATCTTAATGATATTTCAATGGTTTCCAATACTGTTATTTTATAACTAATGCTCTATTCACACAGCCTTTAAATTTTATACCTCTAAAAAATTTGTACAAATAACTTTTTTCCCCCTCTAGTAATTTTTCAATAATGAATCATCAGGAAGTTGCATGAAATTAATGTCTTTAATGTACTCTACATATAACTCATCAGAGAATTATTTATAAGTCATCAGAAAAGTATCAGTACATTTATTCAACCAGATTCAACATTCACTAAGAGTATGTAATCTCTTCTAGCAGAAATGGCAACTGATAGCTGTTTTAACTTACTTTTCTTTAGTCAGTGATGATCATTTTCTCAATGTGTTTATTTGTACTTCTTTGTGAACTATCTGCGCTTATTCTTTTAGGCACCTTTTGAGTACTGCACTTGTAAAAACTGTTAGCAGTTCCTTACGTGATTAAACTTTTAGTTATCAAATTTTTGTTAAAAACCTAAGATTGTTCAAGAAAACTTATTCTCAAACTACCAGAACACTCCAGAGAAGGCAAAACCACATTTCTGAGAGATAAATAGGTATCAATGGGAGAAATAGTAATAGTGGTGACTTATTAATGAGAGCCATTCAAAACTATGAATCTAGAAATGCAACAAGTATACCTTGTCCAAAACCTAATCATCTTAATTTATAAGTGTGAGGCAAGCAAATTTACTATCACACATGTCTACTATCAGAATGTGATACAAAGATACAACAAAAAAAATCTAAGAGAGTTGGTATCAAGGACAAGTACAGAAATCTAAGAGAGTTGGTATCAAGGACAATAACACATGTGTGGAAAAAACTCACTAATGTGTTAATTAAACCATATAGAGCAAATGATGACTAGAGTAAGTTAGAAGCCAACTATTTTAATTTTCCATTTCCCTTTTCCTGTATTTTTATGACTGGAAAATTCTCAAAATTAAGTGGTCAATCTTTGCAAGCCTATACATATTTTATAACCAAAGATTGATGCTAAGCTTTAATATATTCTATCTGGTTTTCAATTAATTGTAAATGTTGAGAGTAATACAAATGGGGATGAAAAGGGGAAGTAAACGAGGAAAAGGGAACTGAATTAGTATTTGTTATTCCCTATCAAAGAAGGCCTACCACCTCTCCAAGAATCAGACTTGCTAGAAAAAGATAACACTATTTAAACCAGATTTTTGGTTATTTTAAGTTTTTAAAACACATCAGTTGCTTTCCATCTTCAGAGAGATAGGCTTCAGTCTCACCCTAAACAGGCATTCTACAAAAGAACAAAGGCCAGCCTCAGTATTTGAACTGAGAAAAAGAGTCACATTGCAGATATTTTTCACAGTACAGGTTTGTTGGGGTTCTTTTAAATTTCAACTACATGACAAATTCTGAAATTATTATCTGAAAATATTTGCTATTATAATTAAATGGATTTATTTATTTAGATGATTACCTGGACATTGTTTTCTTGTGTTTGGTGAACTGGTCTTATGTGAGACAATGAAGGCTGAGTTCCTAATTTCCTATCCAAAAATACTTCTTTGCTGCAAGCATAACACCATACTCGAAGAGTGGTAAGGTTCACAGTTAAATAATGCTTTGTTTCCTGTATAATTTCATGGGGACAAAGAAGAGGAACCAGAATTAGGTATAGTTGAAAACATTTCAAAAAAGCATAGACGATAAACTGCTGGCCTTTGATCAGTAAAACATACTCCAAAGAGAAGAGTTAAAGGCGAACACCAAAAATCATTCTTTCGATAAACTGCTGAAGTATTCTGAATAGTAATAATATCTAAGTCTACTCTAGGAGTTATTCTATTGTCATTTTTCAGCACCATTTATTATAAAAATAAAACACAACAGTATAAGACTCTGCTTTGCAGTTAGCATGTAAGCATAATACAAGAAAATAATTGACAATAACACAGTATCTATTCTAGGAGATCAGAATGGCAAAAGAATAAACATGACATTAGTTAAAGCACAAAACAGCTCAAGTAATAGTGAATATATGAACTTAGCCTTTCTCAACTGGGTTTCTGTAAGAGAATTATGCCCTATAGAAAATGATTTGTGCCGAAACCGGTTTGGCTCAGTGGGTGGAGCGTCGGCCTGCGGACTGAAGGGTCCCGGGTTCGATTCCGGTCAAGGGCATGTACCTGGGTTGCGGGCACTTCCCCAGTGGGGGATGTGCAGGAGGCAGCTGATCGATGTTTCTCTCTCATCAATGTTTCTAACTCTCTATCTCTCTCCCTTCCTCTCTGTAAAAAATCAATAAAATATATTTAAAAAAAAAAGAAAAAGAAAAAGAAAATGATTTGAGCAACTATTTTCTCATTTCTACCAAGATTGGTACACAACACTAACACCCTAGATCAGTGGTTCTCAACCATCCTAATGCTGCAACTCTAATACAGTTCCTCATGTTGTGGTGACCCCCAATTTCATTGTTACAAATTGAACATAATTATAAAGCATAGTGACTAATCACAAAAACAGTATGTAACTATATATGTGTTTTCGGATGGTCTTAGGCGACCCCTGTGAAAGGGTCGTTCGACCCCCAAAGGGGTCGCGACCCACAGGTTGAGAACCGCTGCTCTAGATGCACAGAAGTAAATTAATTAAGTACAATGATGCCTGAGGGTCTCGGGGTATTCGGGCTTAATTGACTGAGTTGAGGAACCCTAGTTAAGAACAGCTGATGCAGTAGAGATATCAATGTGAAAAAAGACAGTTCATTCTCGAGAAACTTACAGTTTAGAATGGGAGCAAATTTTCAAATTATAACTTCAATTAACAATGTTATATTTGCTTTCCCTCTCCTTCAGGCTTTCTTTAAAAATGCCTTGCATTAAAATTTTCTATATACATACCTGAGAATGTATGGTGCTGTGATCTACTTGTGATTCACCACAGCCAACATATGAACATCTATTCTATAAATAATTATACAAAAAGGAAAATAAAGTATTTTAGAACAAGTGTCACATTACAATAACAGCATTGCAATTACATTTACAATTAAATTTTGATCATTTTTTATGTTTTTTAACTTAATGATCAACTGACTTTCCATAGTTATTTTAACTAAAAGATAATAGGCACAAAAGAATAAAACCAGAATATTTCTAAGCTAAAAGTTGTCACCCCTAATAAAAAACAAGCATAAAATATTTTAGTAATTTACTAAAACTCGGTGAAAAAGCTGTAAATTAAAACCCAAAGTTTGAAGTTTAATTTTTGTCATCAATAATTTCATTTGCCCTGGCCAGGGGCTCAGTTGGTTGGAGCATTGTCCCGTGCACCAAAGAGTTGCAGGTTCCATCCCCAGTCATATGGGAGGCAACTGATCAAAGTATGTATGTATAATTCATTCATTTATTCATTTCTTTTCTCCTCCCTCTAAAATCAATAAAAACATACCCTCAGATGGGGGGGGGGGGCTGGATTAAAAAAATATGTTCATTTATGAAATATTTTAAGTGTCAAAAATACCTTCTAGTTATCCTTATCCAGATATAAAATTTTATAATATCAAACATTTGAGAAGAAACATATATATACCTCCAGGCACGCCCAAAGATTTGGTCCTCTGACTTTACAATCCTGACAAGTACTCTATGAAACAAAAATCACATGGACAACATTATCATTAACATAGACAAACACATACAATTCACTAATAATATCTTATGTAAAAAATCTGGACTCCTAAACACGAGAGTATTATAGTAATTTACAAAAAACACATTAAGGAGAAAGTGAATATGATTTTTTAAGGAAGGAAAAAAAATAATTTTCTTACATGAGATTTTTGTATTAACTCTTCTTTCGTTATTTCACCAACTGAGTCCAAATGTGAACAATGATTTCGAAAACCTGGCATTTTGTTATAAATTTTCTCCTGTTTCCCGGGGCTTTCCAAATGAGGTAATACCTATGGAAAAAATAACCAAAAGTTCATTTTAAAATGCGAAGATATTAAAATAAAAGATAAAATAAGAAACACACAAGAGTATATTTTCAAATATACCTAGATTACTTTCATAAAGTTAATTTAAACACTGAAAATGTCTCTACTAAATATTTTATTAAAATTGATATTCATGAATTCATGTTGTTTGTTTCTCCGTTACTTTTACAGCTTTTCCCCCTTTCTCCCTCTCATTTTACTTTTTACAAATAAATGAAAGGGAAATTTTCAAGTTATTCAATTTAATATTTTTATCCTTTAAAAAAAATGAACACTTATACTGAAATAGAAACTGAAAAGAAAGAAAATTCAAATAGATACCTTTATTTTCAAACTAGCAGTAGCCCCTTCTGAAAATATATTAGTAAATGAAATTGTCTGATATCCTAGCAATCTACGAAGATAGTCACTTTATATCAAAGTTTCTCAACCTTAGCACCATTGACACTTTGGGCCAAATAATTATTTGTTGTGGGTACTGTCCTGATGTTTAGCAAGATTTCTGCCAGAACACTCTCACCACCACTCTAAATTTTGATAACCAATATCACTACACAGTGTAAAATTATGTCCTGTAGGAGGCAAAATCGCCCCAAGTTGAGAACCACATTATAATATGACCCTTTCAACAACTGTGAGTGAGGTAGGTACCATTATCTTCATTTGCATCTAAGGCTACAGAGGCAAACCTGACTGAGTTCACCCTGTTAACACTTGGTGAAACTAGGACTTGAATTCACCTGTATATCTTATGGGTAAAAGCAAGGACTCTGAAGTCAAACCTGAGGATAACAGTAAGAGCAGAATGGCATACCTAACTTATGGGGTTACTGTAAGGATTTAATGAGGTAGTATATATCATGTGTGAGTGTATGTGGGCATGTGTGTGTATACACAGTACTGCACATACATCTACACTAATAAAAGAGAAACATGGTAATTGGCGTACGGCGCTACCCTTTTCATTGGCTAATCAGGGCTATATGCAAATTAACTGCCAACTAAGATGGCAGTTAACTGCCAACAAGATGGCAGCTAATTTGCATATGTAGGCACAATGCAGGGAGGCGAAAGGGAAAGCAGGAAGAAGCCCCCTGCCACTGACAGTGATCGGAAACCCAGGGGGGAGCTAAGAGCTGGGGGGCAGGGCAAAGGCGGCCCTGGGGTCGCCTTTGCCCTGCCCCCCAGCCATGATCAGAGAATCAGGCGCCTTTGCCGCCCTGGCCAGTGATAGCAGGAAGTAGGAGTGGAGCCAGCGATGGGAGCTGGGCATGGCAGAAGCTGGCAGTCCCGGGAGCTAGGGGTCCCTTGCCTGGGCCTAAAGCGGAGCCCACGATCGCGGGGCCGCTGCAGCTGCGGGTCCCCGCTGCCCGGGCCGGACGCCTAGGCCAGAGGCGTTAGGCCTGGGCAGGGGCAGAGCGGGAGATCGCAGGGAGCTGGGGACCCCCTGCCCAGGCTTGACACCTCTGCTGGAGGCCTCAGGCCTGGTCAAGGGGCCGATCCGGTGATTGGTGATCAGAGGGTGATGAGGGTCAACTCCTCTGGCCGATGCATCAGGCCTGGGTGGGGGGGCGGAGCCGGGGATTGGAGGGATATGATGGTCCCCTTTCCCAGGCCTGAAGCCTGGGTCAGAGGCATCAGGCTTGGGCGGGGGGTGGAGCAAGCGATCAGAGGGAGATGGGGGTCCCCTGCCCAGGCATGAATCCTGGGCCAGAGGCCTCAGGCCTGGGCAAGGGGCCGATCAGGCGATCAGAGGGTGATGGGGGTCTACGCCTCTAGCTGAGGCATCAGGCCTGGGCAAGGGGCAGAGCCAGCAATCGGAGGGGTCTGGGGGTCCCCTGCCCAGGCATGATTCCTGGGCCAGAGGCATCAGGCCTGGGCTGGGGGCAGAACCAGTGATGGGGGGAAACGAGGGTCCCCTGCCCAGGCCTGACGCCTCTGTCAGAGGCGTCAGGCCTGGGCAAGGGGCTGATCCTGCGATTGGAGGGTGATGGGGGTCAACGCCTGAGGGCTCCCAGTATGTGAGAGGGGGCAGGCTGGGCTGAGGAACACTCCCCCCCCCACACACACACACACCCAGTGCACGAATTTCGTGCACCGGGCCCCTAGCCCTAAATAATAAAAGGCAAGTGACCGTAACGGCATAATGACCAGAATGACAGATCGACCAGTTGCTATAAGGTGCATTGACCACCTCTTGGCCCCTCCCTCCAGCCCACAGGCTCTGATCACTGGATGGCCAATGGGGAACCACAGGGAACTGGGGTGGGTGGTGGTGGGGCGGGACTGGGGGCTGGTGAACTGGCGGAACGCTGACCTCCTGGTCCCTCCCCCAGCCTGCAGGCCCAGATTGATCGCCCGGCCAACGGAGAACCAGGGTGGGTGGTGGCGGCAGGGTGGGACTAGGGACGGGCAAGCGGGTAGAAGATGGCCCTGATCTCACGCTAGGCCTAGGGACCCTAGCCAGGCACGATTTCGTGCGCTGGGCCTCTAGTATATTCATAAAATTTTATTGGGCTCTCTGCATCACCTCTTTATACAGTGCTTCTTTAATATGACAAATAAGGTCTGATACTTCTCTCCCCATGAGACCACCAGTTTAAGACTGAGGTAGTTT